TTGATTATCATATTGGCCAACAATTTGTGTGGCCTATTGGCAGCACTGGTAACCAATGCACACATTAGATTGACGGATATGATTAGACTGGCAATCAATGTAAACACTATGCCTGTTGTTACTCGTGAGTGCCATTGAGCACCGGGAGAAAATGTTATGTGTATAATGAAACACATACCCGGTTTAACCAATACATACAATATAAATATATACCATTTTAGCATTTTATTTAATTTTTTTACTCTCAAAGTACAGTTAATATGTTGACAAAAACCATAGCGCAGTAATCGGTAATCATTATATGTATAGGCTTTGAGAAATAAACGATTTAGTTGTATGTATTGATATCTCAGATAAGTTAAGGACAGATACCATAACTGAAACAAACAAATAAAAATAGCGCTAAAATCAATGATCCAAACGACACTCACAAATGTCCAAACAATTGTCAACCACAGGGAATACCTGTGCTTTGAGTTGTCATCAAAATATGCTAAAAATGAAGGTAAAAGCCACAGTAGACTACTATTAGCACATTGGCTATAATGGACACCATATGTCAGATATTTGACAATTAATATCATTTGTCGATAGAATTTATGATCTAATTTGCCTTTTAGGCGATTTCTGACTAAATTATGTTTGATGTCATACATAAAATTGACCATGTACAATTTTTTTCGTATGTCCAACCATTGTAGGGAACCGCCAATTATCAGATTACAAATCAGTGCACTGTATGCTAGAATTATCGATATTATCTTCCGATTGCCAAACAAGTGATTAGCATTACTGGTAAACCATATTAGTGAAGGTGTTTCCCATATAGCGGACACACCGTAGCGAAACATTGTTAACACTGAGGCCAACTTAATAACTGAGCACATCATAAACCGTACGGTTAGTTTCAATTGCGGTGTCTGTCTAATATAGTACTCAAAATTTGGTGATACCATAAAATAACAGTTAGTCATAAACTGCTCCATACGCTTAAAACTGGCATCAATTTGCTGTTGTTTAACATCAGTTATTTTGCTTATCCTTAAACCTTCAACATATCCTTTAAATTTTACACTTTTTGTATTTTTAATCATAATTAATTATATTTTTAAATAATAATAATATACAGTAAACCAGATAGTTTGACATAATAATAAAAATATAATAACATAGTTTATAAATAATATTTTTTCAAAGTGCATAATATACTACAGTAAAGTTAGAGTTCGGGCAACTTTATACAGAAGGGAAGTTTCATAATAAAATCCCTCCATTTTTTCCGGAAAATAGGGAAATATTTTATTTTCTCTCACTATGTCATTAGAAATAACAAATTATTATATATTATTACAATAAATAATTCAAAAACTTATTTTTTTTGCATAAAATTTCATTGAAATATTTAAAAATAAGTTTAATTTTAATAAATTTAGTCATATCATTTAACAAGCAACACTTGAAATACAATTTAATACAACATTTGTTATTCAAATTTATAATAAAATTTGTTGTTTAGAGTTCAATAGGTGGTCTAACATAAGGAAATAGATTCCTTGGGAATTCACAGATAGCAGAAATTATAGGAAAATTTTAGAATATAAAACAAGGGATGGAATTTACACGAACCCTAAAGTATAGTTAAGTGCATAAAAGTAATCATTTTTTAACTTACAGTCAATAATGTTTGACATAATGTAAATTTTATCTTTAATTTAAGTACAATAAATATAAATGTAAAGTAATATATTATTATCATAATTTAAATAATTTATTATTTTTTATACATACAATATTACAGAATATTATATAAAAATTTTTAATTAACTTTATATAATGTATTATTTATACATTATTATATTCAAATATAATGTACTTTCACTAATCAATGTTGTGAACTATTTTAATTAATTTAAAAATGATTTTAACTATTAATTTTACACACAATATTTATTTAGTATTTCTAACACATTGATAACATTTTTTAAAATATTATAATTAAAATGAAATATTAAAAATCTACATTCATTTATCATAAAATGTATGCATTGAAAAAAATAAATTTTAATTTAAAATAAGATATCTATTTCGAGGAATAATGGGTAACATAAATGGTATAATTGGTACCAAACTGTTGTTCAGTTGATAATCAGCCAATTGATTGGCATATTTTTGAGTAATAAGGATAGTTGTGTCGGGAATGGTTTCGTTGGCAATCATTTTGGCTTTTCTCGGATTGGCAGTGGTCGGGCCGGCAGCTGACCCGCCGCCGGCAGCTGACCCGCCGCCGGCAGCTGACCCGCCACCGGCTGCCGGAGGGGTCAGACACTCAAATCTCAGTAGACATAGTTTGCATAGTTGTGAACACGTAAAGTCAGATTCAAGTCGACAACATTTATAGAAAAATAATGAACGACTTTGTAATGTCTTACTCCTGATGGTGTCCACTGACCTATCGGTGTTAAGCACTGTTGGGTTGATTAATAGTATAAGCATTATATGACATGAATTCATTTTATTATTATTTATTTATAGTATTATTATTAACAATACTAAACTAAAATTAGTAATAAGTTATAAATAATTATTTTATTAATAACCTCTCAAACTATAGCTTAAGCAACTGATTTACATGTAATTTAAATGACATATATTTATAAGGATAGAAAATACAGTTATTGTTTTATTATATGCAAATGATTTGCAAAATTATTTATTTGTTGTTTCCTATTTGTTATATTTTAAATATAATCAATATTTTTTTTAAATAAAATAAATAAAATTTAAAAATAAGATTTGCATTGACTACAGTAATGCAATGCTATAAACATAAAAATAAAAAATCTAAATTATTATTAGTAATAATAATGATTCATAATAATAACTTATTTATAAATAAGTTTAAAGAGATATAATAAATAAAAAGTTTAAAGTCTAAATTAATAAATATATATTAAATAGTTATTAAATAGACATATAGATAATGTATATTATGTAAATAGCTACACTTATTTTAATTTTGAAAAACAATAAAAAATGTTATTAATATAAAGTATTTATAGATTTTTATTTATATTGAAGTATAAAACTATTTTAATGTAAATTAAATTAGACAGATAATCCCTGATCATATCTATTAAACAGCATCGACCCATTTACCTAATATATGGTAAATTGTCCTTGCACCCAATATAGTAATGACAATGCATACACATTCATAAAAAATGGTACAGTAAACAATTTATTAAATTTTTTTTTATAATAAAGAAATACTATATCTAGCTTTTTTATTATATCTTATTTTATTTAAATTTTAAATAATTCTTTTAATAACCTTTTATTTTAAAAAAATATCAATTTGTTAATTTAATTAACAAAAAAATATGTTTTTATTTTTTAAATAATACTAATTAAAACACAAATAGTAATGTTTTGTTTTTTTTAAATTTTATTCGATTAGTAATAAAATAAAATTTAAATATTGTTTATTTATTAGAAGATAGTTTTTTAATTATAAATTTAGTATAATTTATAATAACAAATTCAGTATAAAATAATGTTTAATTAATGTTAGATACAATTATCAAGAAAAACACGTGTCTAATAGTTGTCTCTATCAGATTATACCGGTGCCCGGCGCCTGTATTTAATATATTTGAGTAAATATATATAAATCTTATGATTAATTATAAAATCAAAAATAATAACAATATAAATATTCATAAAATAATTATCAATTAAATAGAATATTATTGATTTTGTAATAAATAAAAGTTAGCTATTTAAAAAACAAAAATTATTTATGCAATTTGTAATTATTATTTTGTTATTTGTAAACATAAATTAACAGTAATAATGTTTTTAAATTTATTAAAACATTTAATATTTCCATAAAATAGTCCATATTTTGCACTTAAAATTTTGATTAGATAATTTTGTTTTAATTAATTTACTATAATTTAATTACAAAATAATGTATAATTTTTTTAATTGATGAATAGAAATGTTAAATCACTTTCATTTATTACTAATAATTAATTATGTGTTATAAAAATTATATGTTATATACAATTCACCGGTGAATAGAGTATACACTGTATTATACAGATATATACTATACAGAGATTAAATTTTCCTGTTTATGTTAACCATAAACATATTTATTATTTTTCACTGATTTTTATTTTGATATGTATTTAATATAATTTTTTCATAATTAAATTAATCTAAGAAAATAACATTAAATAGAAATATATTTATTTTTTTATATATTTTGTACAAATCAATTAATTAATTAACATTATGTATACATTGCATGTGTAATTGCATTTGTGATATAATTTTACTGTAATTTGCAATTACAATATAATACTGTTTAATAAATTACAAGTTGATAATTGAATTTTTATTTAATGCTAACTTTTGTTCAATTAGTTCAAAGTCGTAAACTATAAACTGTTTAATACCATTAAAATAAATAAATTGATTTAAACTTATTTACAAACTTATTTGCGAAATTCTCTCTCTCTCTCGATATTATATATATAAATAATGTTAAGATTTTTCAACTGTCTATATAATTAATCGCCCGGACATATGATCAATGATTTTATGTTTATATAAGTTGTGTTAATATTTACATTTGAAACAGTCTAGTAAATCATCATTTAATAATACACTGCAAATTGTTCACACAAAAAAAAATTATTAATAAAAATAAATACCAAACTAAAAGTAAGTGAACTTTTTTATTTATTATTGATTTTACTTTTAGTTTATGTTTTTTATTTTTTATGTTATAAAACAAGAAGTTTTATTTATTTTTTTAATAATAATAAACTTATAAATTACATGCGAAACATGCTGTTTTCATACAATGATAATAATTTTACCACTATTTTTAATTTTTATAATTATTATTTTTGCTAGAGTTTGGTCAAAATAAAATAGTTATATCAATAATAAATGGAAATTAAAAAATACGATAAATATGAAAAATATTCAGATTTTGACAAATATTTTTATGCTCTTATATTTTGTGTGGTTAGGGCTTCATTTGTAAGTATAATTAAAAAAATATATTTAGATTTTATTAAATGTAATTTTTAGACTACTATAACAAAAAATATCACTTCAAACATCCTTTCAATATCCAGGGTATGAGTAACTCATGTTTCGGTCCATCATTTGTCGACTTGAAAATCATATTAAACACAACAATGGATAACATATCACTGATGACAGCATTTTTTCATTTGTCATTTATGATGGGATCACTTTGTATGTGTTTACAGTATTTAAATTAAGTTATATTTTAAAATACATAATATTGAAAGTTTTATCAATAACTATTAAGTTATATAATAAAAATAAAATTTATTATCATTTAAATATTTTACATATATAATGTTTTTTTTGTTAGTTTTTATGTTTGTCAAGTAATTCAATGTTATTACAGTACTACTATTATATTAACATATTTTTATAAATTACAGTTGGTTTTTTATACAAGTATATCGACCGTCAAATCATTTTAATAACATTACTACTGATCAAAGCCGGGGCTACATTTTTGATACCGTATTCCCAGCAACTGTGGCACCTGTATTTATTTATCGGTCTCTATGGACTGGGATCGGGTGCTTGGAACAGTGGCAATCGGGTATGGGTTCTGGAAATGTTTCCCAAACCAACACAATCGGGCGCTGTCCTACATCTATCCGGTTTCATGTATGGTATGGGAACTATACTTGGTCCTATGATTGAACGACCATATTTGACTGGAAATCAGGAACTGGAGCATAAAATTAATTATGTTCAAGTGCTCAATAACTTTAACAATACTGCCACTGCCCTAACAGCTCAATTACATCAACAACAAGATATTACTGATGTTATGACAATAAGACGATATAAACTGCAAAAACCGTTTTTTATATTTGGTGTCATTCATCTCATTGGTAAATATTTTTGTTTTTTTTTAAATAAATATTATTTCAAAATTAAAATCATATTGAAAAATGAAAATATTATATTAAAACAAACATATTATTTGTTTAATATAACACAAAGCTATATCATAAAGTTTTTTCTAATAAAACAAACTGTAATTACTTTTATTTTGTTTAAGTGAAACATTAATAAATTTTGTTTGTGTTTTCAGATATCCCATAAAAATAATAACATCTACGGTATGAATGTTGATACCCAGTTAACCAATTATAAAATATTAGATTAAATAAACAATTTGTTAGGCAAATTATAATATATTAAATTACTATAATAGTTGTTATAGTAATTTAATTTATTATAATAATTTTGTTTAAGATAAAGTTCAACCTATAATATATATGTAGAGTTTACAGTAATATCAATAGGCATTATATGGAAAACACTTGATGTTAATTGAAATTTTTTGTTTGTTTGCTATTTCAACATTTTTAGGTCCCATACTAATGATTATATTAATCATCGTAAAGTATATTAAGGAAAGTAGGAAAGAGCCGGAACACCGGTGCCAGAGATTACACTCCCGTTGCAACTCTGAACTGGAATGCAAACAAATAACCTTGGTCATATTAGTGTCTATATTTTTAGCATTTTTTACTGTCTCTGAGACAATCTATCTGCGCTTTGGTGCCATATATTACCAGTACATACCTCTAGAGTTTACGGCCACACAATCGGCAGGAATGGTATCCGTTATGGCAATGATCTACACTATCGGTCGGGGAATCAGTTTTTTTCTAACCATTGAATTCAAACCGCATCACGTGATCGGCTATCATACCGGTGTCCTAATGATCTCATTCGTGGTTCTAATGTTAGGCCAAAATATGCTGACCTTTCTATTGATAGGTAGCTTAACAATGAGCTACGGTTATTCCTGTATAACTGCCTCTACGTTTGCCTACATTGGACAGTACGTCGAGATGACCGACCGGATCGGCACTATACTGACATGTAGTTCCCGTTTATTAACATTGTTTATGCCTTATATGTTAGGCAAATATATTGAACGAAATCCACATGTGTTTGTAGTGACAATGTTTATGAATATTTCGATATGTATTTGTGTTTTTACACTGATTTTGGCAATTGTTATGAACGACAAGTTTGTCAAACAAATACAAAACTGGAAGACAATTGATAAATACGAGGAACTTTAAATTAATATAAAATTACCATGATTCAAATCATTTTTTTATTAAAACTATAAATTAATTTATTAATTATGTAAAAAAATAAGTTATTTCATTATTTCATAATATATTACTACATTTACATTATTAATATTTATAATTACTATATTTGTATATTTTTTTATCACTACAATATATTGTATAAATTTTGACTAATAATTCATAATTTAATTAAAATAATTTATTAAAAATATTTTTAAAAAATTATAAATAATATAAAGCAAACTTTTTGATATTAATTAATTTTTTAATGCAAAATCTATTGATTTTTTAAAAAATTTGTCTAATTTAATAAAATCAAATAATAAATTAGTAAATAATATTTAAATACTATTATATTTATTAATTGAATTGTATTAATGTATGTGCTGTACGTTAAGTTACACAATAATCATTCAATGTTTTATTTAGTACTAAAATATAATGACTTTCAAAATTTACAATCAATAATCAAGATTTTATTTTTCTATAAATTAACAAAAAACAAACTAAATTTCAAAATCATAAAATGATATGAGTTTAAAATATAATAATTTTAAAAAATATTTTATTACATTTATATTAAATAAGCAAACTTATATTCAATCAATTATTGTTTTTTTCAATTATGATATTTTTAAAATAAAATATTTTTAGCATATCAAAAGTAATGCAGTCAATTATTTTAATTTACTTTATAGTGGCCATCATATTTGGTAAGTGATTAAAAATAATTATTAATTAAAGTATAAATTTTTAAATATTATATATAATATTATAATATTAATAAACAGTATCTAAAATAATTTAATAAATTTATATATATATATATATTATAAACTGTATATTAGCTGCATATGTGGTCACAATAGAGACTGAGTGTTCAATTTTTGAGAGTTCGTGTGGAAAGGGATGCTGTAATATAAAACAAATATGTGGTTACATAGGACACGGCAAATACCAGTGCCGAGACAAGTGTCAATATTTTCAATATATTGGTTTAAACAAAAAGAAATGCATATTTGCCAGAAATTAATTATAATATAGTAGACTAAACATATCATATCAGTAATGTTTTATTTAAATTAATAAATTTATGAATTTTATTTTTATTTGTTCAAATTGTAGAATTATTATTTTCTAAAACATTATCATTTTATAATAAATATGTAAAATAATTATAATTATAATTGACAAACTTATTAAAAAATTTGTTTTTTTATGATAATAAATAAGATACTTTTATTAAATAATAATTAGTAAAAATTATCTTTAAAAACTTATAGTATATTGATAGTAACTATCACCATCATAATTGTGGCTACTATTATCAAGGTTATTATCAACAAAATTTAGAACATGTTAACTAATAAAAGTTAGTTTTTTATACTTACAAAAGCAGTTTGTAAAAATTATAATATGATATTAAATTTATAAAAAATAATGTTTTGTTTCTAATTAATTTTATTAAAGCATATGTTTTAAAATAAATTTATAATTTTTATTATTTATAAAATTAAATGCAATGAAAACATTTAGATTATTTTATACTTTAGCAATTAACCCTGTTTAAACTATGGAAAATTCTTTTTTAAAAATTATCAATTTGCTCTAATTTAAAATATAGTAAATAAACTAAAATAAATAAACAATATAAATTTTAAAAACTATAAATGTCATAAAACACAAATAGATTTTAACATTAATTTATTAATAATAAATGTTGCAATAAATTTCATTAAATATTCATAACTAATAATAATGAAATTATTAGTCATAATTTTTTTAATAATTGCCGCTTATGTGTATTGTAATAACGACCTTGATGAAAATAATAACAATAATAATATTCAGCAAAATGAACTAGGTGATAATACTGTTGATGAAAATGAAATTCGTAAAGTACCAAAAGTTTCGAAAAATGTAACCAAAATTAAGCACCCACCTAAAAAGCCCGCTTCCCATAATCATAATAGCGATAAAAGTCCACAAATCGGACTTAATCCTATAGGTCACGGATCTCATGTCAATAACATTGAAGCTAACTATCCGTTACCGCCAGAAGCTGAGTACGATCACGTTGTGCGACCTCAACGACCCCATCCAAAGCCCAACCCGGAAGACATCATAACTCCAGAACCGATATATCCTGAACATCACAGACCACAATCTGAATGGGATTGGGATGAACCGTATCCCGAAAAACCTCGACCAGAGTATGAACCCGAACCGGAAAGTGAATACAATCCGGAACCATATCCTGAGGAAGAACCGGAACCCGAATGGTCAGTACCGTATCCGGAAAGGCCTGAACCTGAACCCGAAAAAATAACACCCGAACCCATTTATTTGCCGGAACCCGAACGGCCACATAGACCTAAACCTGAACGACCTCAATGGCCAACCAGACCTGAAAGCGCACCTCTTCCTTGGGATAGTCATCCCGAGTACATTGAACCGGAATATTCAAAACCAGAAAACCATAGACCTAACCATCAAATACAAGAAAATAATAACTGGGATTATAATAAACCAATTCATCAATCAAATCAATATAATAAACCAAAGCCTAAACCAGAATCGCATAGACCTGAACACCAAAAACCTAGACCAGAACGACCTAAACCTGAACACCATTACAAACCTAAACCCGAACACCAGCACAGACCTGAACCGGAACACTCGTGGCCCGAATCAGTAGTACCTCAACATGAGTGGCACGAACCGCACCGACCGGATTCTCACTATCCGAGCCAACACCATCACCAACAGCATCATAGACCAGAACCGATACCCGAAATTAATTTAATCGATGATTATGTTTCATCCGAATACGCACCGGCATTATTGCCCGTACATCACCCGAATCTTGACTATGAAGTACATAAAACACCTGATCTACTCCCACCTATCAATAAGCCTAGATTTAATGAAATGGAGTCATCGACATCAGTAAACAATGTGTTAAATTCATGATTTTTGTTTTGTTTGATAAAGTTATAACATAAATAAAAACTTTAATGTTTAACAGTACATACTGTAGTTTATTATTATTTTTATCATGCTAGAATTTTTTAGTTTGTTTTAAAAACATACAGCAGTTTTTCAAGTTTTTGTTTAAAATATTTTTTTTAATAAATAACATTTGCATATTATTTTAATTATATAAATTATCATGTTTAAAATTTGCATATATACATATTTACATATATAATCCATGGACTAAATAAATGTTATTTTATTTAGCAAAATTTTTAATAAAAGTATAATACTGTATATATTAAAGATTTTGTTATATAAAATGTCACATAAGATAATTATGTTAATATTATTATTACTAGCATTTACATTAGCAATTATCGATACAAAACCAATTGATTTTGATGAAAATAATGGCATACATATACAACCTATTGGCAATACTGGTGATAGATATGGTAAAGCTAGACCACAATTTATTAGACCCGATAGTGACATGGTCAATCCATCATCATGGGTAAATCCTATTTACATACCTGAGCTCAAAGGGCAGGATAGTGATGATTTAGAAAATGAGCATGATGATCCAAAATTGCCACCTGCAATTAATGCGCCACTCAAACGACATCAAATCAACAATTTTTATTAATAATTTTCATGATTATATAATACTAATTAATTCAAAATAAAAATTTTATTCAATGTCTACAGTATTTTATTTTTAAAAAAATACATTCAATAAGTTAGTTACAGTATGTAATACAGTAATCAATTTCTTATAAATTGTACGCTTTTTGAATAATTTATTAATAAATAATATTGTATTTACTTTATAATATACGGTAAATAATATTGTGCTTTTTTTAATTAAAAATATATTATTTAATATTATCTAGACTTGTTAGCAAAAATCTATTTTTTTCAAAAGCAAATGTGTGTGTGTGTGTGTGTGTGTGTGTGTGTGTGTGTGTGTGTGTGTGTTTAACTTAGTTAGCATAGTACACACAAAAATACAGATAAAATACTTAAATTTTGTAATCTTGTTTGGGATATGGATGCTGATCATTGAACACTCCGAGCACTGGTGTACTGCCTGTTTTTGCTGCCAGCAATTGCTGTTCAATGGGTGGCAACAACAATGGTACATCCGATTTTTTGCCGTATAACTGGTCATCAGCGTTAGGCCAACCCTGATTGATACCGAACGGCTTGTAAAATGACAGTCCAACTGTGCGCCAAACGTCTCCCGATAGGGTTGTCATTGCAATGAAAGCCTGGACCAACATTACCAACAAATTGAATGTACCCAATACTATCATATTGTTCTTGGTCATATTAGGATATATTATAGTTTAATTTTCAATAAACAATGTTTAATATATATATTTTTTAAAACTATAATAATAAACTAATTAATAAACTTACATTTGTAGTATAGTTGTAATAATTTGGTTGAACATTTGCAAAACACAGTATCATTGATGTCAATTCAAGCGGTAACATCAAGATAAACATACCAACAATCTAAGGTTATTCAATTAAATTTTAGCAATATTTAAAAAAAATATAAATTAATTACTGATTTATTTTTATATAATGAATAATAAAAAAATAATTAATTTTTAATACCAGATAAATCATTTGTTTGTATTTGACAGTTATAATACCCATTGCAAAGTTGGTCACAATTAGAAAGCCGCCAATGGTTGAGGTGACGGCACCGGCATTTATGATGGAATGGCAGATCAAATCTACAATACCTACTATCATCAAAATACTGGCAAATAGCTATTTAAAATAATAATTGAAGAAATATATGAAAAATAACTTTTTCTTTAAAATTTAATAATTTAAAAAAATAATTAATCCATTATCATTCAAATAAAATAAATATAAAAATTGAATATATATATGATATATACCAGCATAGTTATGTTTAAAATACAACGTAGACGGTCACTGCCCATTAGGTCATGCAATGACATTTTTGATTTAGCTGAACTGTCTAATTATAAAAATAATATTTTTATAAATAGTTAAAATATTAATAATTAAATAGTTAAGATTTTATATTACTTTTGTTTAATACTAATAATATATTAGTACGCAATAAACTAGTTTAATGTTTGAACTAATGGTTCCCGGGGATACATCAATATAATAATACTCTAATATTACTATAATATTGTAATTTACAATATAAATTATATTATATTATATAATATAGATATTTTATTCAATTTATATAAAGGAAATGCTAATAAATAACAATCTATTGTTAGAGATTTTTATTTTCTTTTTATTTATACACATTTTATTATTGCAAACAATTATTATCAATAATAATAACAATAATATGTTTCCTATAAATGTTAAATATTAAATTATTGTATACGAATATTAGTTATTAATATACTATATTATATTATAATTTTTAAAAAATATTGTATATAATAAGTCATAATTATGAAATCTTAATATTTTCATGATAATAATATTTAGTATATTTTGTAAAATTTACAAATTAAAATTATTAATTTAAAAATCATTGCTCTCTAAAATTTATTAATCTAAAAATATAACAGAATTTATTTTTAGTAATTTTTAGTAATTTTTAATAATTATATAAAATTTAAATATTAAAACTGTAAACTTATGACATTTATATATATATATATATATATATATATATATATTGCCAGTAAATATTTAATAACTGTAAGTATTTATAAATAATATAAAATAATTAATATTTGCATTATATTTATATAGAGTCAATTTATATGCTAAATATTTAAAAGTTTTTTATTAAAAAATTTTCCTAATTATTGTTATTATCTATTTAATAACTTATTGATTTTTTCTAAAAATAAAACAAAATATTTCAATAATTTGTAAATTACATAAAATAAGATAATAAACTATTTTATTGTTTTATATAATATCAACTTAATTTTTAATAGATAAGATTTTATTATTTATAGATTCACTTAATTTTTTATGCTAAATTTTAATTAATATTTACCATAATTAAAAAATTGTAAGTTACTTTATCATTAATTTGTAATATCAAATAGATAATTGTAATTTTTAAATAATAAACAATAACCTAGAATATTGACAATAAAAAATTATTTATTAAAAATTTTTCATTTAAATAATTTCTATAATCTGTTTTACAAATTTAATATATCAGAAAATTTTGACATAATTAAAATAATATAATAAAAAATAAGTTGAAATTTTTAAAAATTATTATTATTATTATTGATGTTGTAATGTGGTAATTATGGACATCCTGTTATGTGTTGTAACAATCATTTATCCAAATACCAGTCCATAACTAATAAAAAAATATTTTTTTAAATATATTAACAAATAAAATAATTTATAATTAAAAAAAATAAAATACAAAAATAAATTTAAAATCAAAACTATTTACCTTTATCATTTTTTGCAGCAACTACAGTTGCACTGTCCCTGGCACTTGCAGGTACCGCATCCACCGCATTGTTGCATAATTGATTTTAGTTTTGTTTTAGTTAGTTTTAATGATAAAAAAAATTAAAATTTATTTAATTATTAAGTTTAGTTTTTTTTTTGGTATTTTCTTCAAAGTTTTATCAAATGACCAAAAAACACAAACAATTAATTTTTATGCTACGCTTGTAAACCATATTTATACCCTTAAACTATGTTGCTATGGTTTATTAATGTGCCGGGTGCAAATATTAAAGTACAGTGTGAAAAATGTTTATATTTTTACTGTATATTATTAATGTTTGGCAATATATGCATTAATGTTACATTAATAATGTATAAACTTACAAACATACACTATTTTTTTTGTTAATTAGGCATAGGGGTAACCAAGTTATATTTTGTTTAATATATTAATTTTATCGTAATTTTATTTCTCTAAATAAATTTTCAAACAAAAGTGCAAAAACTTTATGCAATTTATTAGTTGTTATAAATTTTTATTAAATTTATTATTGAACTTGTTTTACAAATATGTGTGTTATAATAAAAAACTACCTTGGCTATTATTGTAAATATCTGATGATTTATTGATGTATGAGATTTATGTTACTTATAAAAACTTTTCATCTGATATCTAATATTTATATATTGTGTAATCATAGAGTAAAATATAAGTTTATATATTTTGATTGTACTCATAAATTTAATAAATTATTTTTTTTTGTATATAAATGTAAATTTAATACAATGCATATGAATTTACTTTTATTATCTATAAGCATTTATTGTAATTTATACACTTAATAAAAATAATAATTAGTATATTTTTTTTATTGTACATTTAAAGTATCTTTGCTTAACCACTCATATAAAAGTTATATAATAAGTTATATAATGACTTTTATAATTTTTTCCTACAATATATGAAAAATACTAATCAAAAAATTTCTATAGCAATCAGCAATATTTATGTTTGCGTTTAGTTATAATTTTTATTGTATATAATTTCATATCATAAGATCATATAATAACTAACATAATAAACATTTCTTTGTTTACTATCATATACAGGTATTAAATTAATTGCATTAAATATTATTTACAAAATTATACTAGTTGTCAAACTATTGATAAATTTAAAAATAGCATAATAAACTATTTTTTTTGTAATTATTTTGCTTAACAACTATAATATTTTAATATATTTTAATTTGTTGTAACAAAATATTTTTTATTGCATTATATATAATGAACATTGTACTGTAAAATAAACTTTATTTAAAAACATTAAAAAAAATTACAAAACATTATTAGTTTAAAGAATAATAAATACAATTATTATACAACAATAATACTGTAAAAATTATATTATTAATAAGTTAACATTGGTTTTTGTAAAAATATAAATAAAATCAAAACAATTTTTTATATTAAATAATAGGTGTATACTGATTGCCATTATAGCTGTGTACGCCAAATGGTCTGACCACTATATTGCGGACAAACCAATAAAACCTACCCCAACCGGTATCGCCAATAGTTGTCAAAGCTATCAATAGCTCAAATATGATACTAATTGTTTGTATAATACCCAATGCCAATATGTTTTTCTATATTATTAAAAAAAATGATGTAAAAGTAGTTAAAAATTTCATATGACTTTTTTTAATAGTTAATAAGCAAAATATACAATTTCAAAAAAACAAAAAATAACATATAATGTTTCAAAAAATATTTTCACAAAAAATTATACTATATATACATGTAAGTAATATTAACAAAGTCAGTAATATAATAAAAAATAATATATAAACTTACATTATTTGACATATTAGCATAGCTTATTATCATTGCCGACAATTGTAACGGTATAAGTAGAAAAATTCCACATGATATCTATATATATAATATGTTTATATAAATATTGTATGAAACAAAAAAAACTAAAATTAATTGCACAGTTATGTAATTTTTTTAAAAACGAAAAAAATAATTTAAAATCTATGATAACATACACAACAACAGAGATCAATGCTTTGGGTAAACATACCCATGAAATACTGTAATAACATAATTACACCAATTATTATGGACAACAAGTCGGCAACTGTTTCATTGGCTGTCCGGTTATTATATTGTAAATCAAATATACCGACACATAGTAGCGGTACGGCTGATGCCTAAAATCAATATAGAAATAAGTTTATTAAAAAAATAATAAAAATAAACAATAATAATAATAAATATTCTTACGCTCCATAGTAAATTCAAAATTAACCTGGTACGTTCTATCCAGCTCATTATATTAGTATAGATAATCAGTTAATTTAATTTAGATATGATTAACATTTTTTTAGTATAATTATATATATTTGTCTCTCTAATCAATATTTAGCGAAAACAAAACAATTACGATTATAGCCGACATTATTATTTTTATTTAATATATGTATTTTTATCATATATCAAATTAAATGTGAGTCAAATGAAATATTTTTCATAATATTATCAGCTTATGATAGTGATAACAAATTGGTATACACTTATAATACTTAATGTACTAATTATAATAGCTATGATTATATTAGAGTGCTATGAATAATAATTATTATAATATTGTTATATTTAGTTATTTGTATATTTAAAAAAAATAAAAGATAGATTTATAAAAATAGTTTCTAGTTTAAATTATTAAATATCAGTATAAAAATATATTATAAAATCCATAAAGATATAAATAGATTATTGACTTGTACACTAACTCATTAAAAAATATTTCAAATGTTGTAAAAATTATTTAATTTAATAAATTCAAATAAAACTACAAGTATTATTTAAATTTTATTAAAACTAATAGCAAATACATTATGGAAAATTTTAATATAAAAATATTTACTAAAACATGTATATTTGATAAATAATGTTATATATATAAAATAGAATTGTTTATTAATTTCTTGAATAATCGATAAAAATATATTTTAATCAAAAGGAAATAAATTTTAATCATTTATGATAATATGATATAATAAATATAAACTAATTATAGATAATATTTACTTGAAAAATTGTTTTTAGTATATAATTAATTTGATTTTTTAAACTATAATAGTGTAATAATAATATTAGTTAATTACCGGTAGTATAAAATCAGTTATAAAAAGTTATAAAATATATTTTGTTGTTGTAAATTTATAAATAATTAACTGAGTATTATTGAAATATTAGTTATACATTTTCAATTGGTGTCTCAGGATTGCCAAATGGTCGGCACAGGGATGTAGAGAGACTGTTCCAAAATCTTATCCATGACTTATCAGGAAATGTCATCAAATATATTATCAATTGTGAAACGACAATTACAATATGAAAACTAGCCAGTGATACAATTAAATACTGTTAAATTTTAATAAAAAAAATAAATTATTATCATACTATGTTTTTTTTTTAAATTTATACTAAATATAGAGAAGGTTTGTTTGCAAAGGTTTGTTTGTAACGTTTAGTACTAAATATTATAGCAATACATTTCAATCACATGTTTAGCACTAAATATAGCCAATAAATACGTAAAGCAATAAAGCAATGATTGAAAGTTTATTTTATTGTCTATAAAAGCGCGCAAATTTAGGGTATAGTTATTTGAATACATTTTTTATGGACACTATAATAGCATTACAAACAAACCTTTGCAAACAAACCTTCTCTATATTAATATAATTATAAACTTAAGAATTAATAATAAATTGTATACATTAACTGGATATAACCAACAATAAATTATAGCTACTAGTTGTATGATAATCAGTGATACCCATAAAAAATTTCTCTAATATTGAAATATTATGTCAAAGAATAAAATTGATTAGACTTTTATTTTTTAAATTTATTTACTATATTATACTTACAATTAATTTAAATATTGGTTTAATAATAGTAAAGCTAAATATACCCAAAACATAGATTAACAAAATCAATACGGATGTTGTAATAGAGAGACCAATTTGTGGTTCAGTATTATAATTGTTATCAACATTATAATGATATTCAATGCAACTTATTATCAATATTGCGATGGCTATGTTCTAAATGATAAAAATAATTAGCTTAACAAATATTTTGTAAATAAATAAATAGATAATTAATAATTAATGATTACCAGCCACAATGCATTAACTGTTACTGTTATCAAACGCCTAACTAAATGACACGATAGACAAGCATTTTGATCCTTAAAAAATTATTAATTTTATCAAATTAAATCATTGTAAAATATTTATGGTAATTATTAATATAATACAATCTCAATGCTTACCTGATTCATTTTTATTTAATAAAATAAATAAAAATTAAACTGTAATTTATTCAGAAAATTTTATTTAAATTTTTAAATAATATGTAACAATATTGTTTAGATTATGTATTAGATTGCATATTATATTTTTTAAATTTGAAACCTTTTTTTTTATTATGATAATAAATAGATATTTTATATCATATTTTTTCATCATATTTATATTAAGTTAACATAATACAGTATTTGCTTACATAACTAACCTTTTAAAACATTAGTTTTTTTACTTTTTAAAACTATAGTATAAATTTAACATTATAAAATGTTTATTAATTTTTCTAATTTAATGATTATGAAAATGAAAACATGAAATACAATAATGGTATTAAAATTAAAGATAAACTCAAAGTTAATGTTTAAATAAATTATAATAAAATAGAGAAATATGCCAATATATAAAATTACCGGATTTTACAGACATTTAAATAGTGTTAATAGAAAATTGTGATTTCATTGCTTTCATTGAAAAAATTGATTTCAATGCAAAAATTAATACTTCAATTAAAAAAAAAGATTTTTCTGTTTATAGTTTATGCTTTATATAAGACAACACTATTGGTTTGTAGAGCACAGTCACTGCGGGCAACAGTGTCTGAAGTACCGAATGGTCGGCACAGGGATGTCGACACACTGTACCAGAAGTTGATCCACGACTTGTCCGAAAAGGTCATCAAATAGAGTACAAACTGTGAGACAGTGATAAAGATGTGCAAAATAGCCATCGCGTGGATCCGTTTAGACTATAGATAAAAATACAGAAATAAAAAAAATTAAAAATATTTTTATTAAATTGAAAACAAACTTTTTTTTTAGTAATATCTATCCTTACAGTAGACGGAGCTAACCAACAGTACAAAAGTGCCGTAAACTGTATGATAACTACAGAAAACCATAGAAAATATTTCTATCGATTAAAAAAAAATCCAAAATAAATTAATTAAAAAAAAATAATAAAAAAATAAAATTATCTGGAACATATTATTTTGTTGTTGAAAAACATCAATTGTTAATACAATAATTGTAATAAAAAATATCAATACCAGTGCTTTAATGCATGGCTCATATTTGGTAAAATTGAATACACCCATCATATAGATGATAATAATCAATACGGAACTGGTAATCGATAGTCCTACTTGTGTACGGGTATAATAGTGGCCCGGTATGTGCCAGTCCTCCTCAATACTGGCCAAAGTTAGTACTGCTAGTGTAGCCGTCTAGTGGTATTCAATGCAAATATAGTAAGTATTTACACATATTGTTACATAATTCAAATTTTTAAATTTATACACAAATAAATAACAATAGGAAATATTATAATGTATTAATATATCATACAGTATAGCACTTACCAACCAAACTATATTAGTGCCCACAGTAATGATGGGTCGCATTATTTTGCACATATCTCCCGGTGCTGTCACCATAATTAGGTCTAAGCGAAACAATACTCCCTTATGTTATTTGTTTTTTTTAAATTAACTATGTTTTAAAAAACAAGTATTAATATTATTAAATATTTAATTTATTTTGCATATATTACATTGTAGATTATAAATAATTATAAAAACTATGTATATTTTTAAATAGTAGTTTTTTTAGTTAACTAAATTTTTCAATTAAAAACAAACCTTGTTTATTTTACATTAAGCTGATATATGCTGAACATAATTTTGGTAAAAATTTTGACACTGTTCAATTTTGAATCTCCCAATCAAAAAAAAGTTTACAACATTTTATTAATAAATAACGTAACTTTTTTTAAATGTATTAATTAAGTAGCAAATAAAGTTAAGGTTATTTAATTTGAAAAACAATAATTATTATTAATATAAAAATATTTATATAATACTTAATTATTGCTCAAACATTATACTATAATAAGCTTATCGTTATATTTCTAGATTAAATTCATAAATAGCTTTTTTTTTGCATAACAAAGTATTGTTTAATAAAAATACAAAGTTTCTGTGATTAAACACTGCAATAGTAGTTATGTTGTCGACTAAGTAAACCTCGTCCATCATCTTCACTGTTATAAGTGCCAAACGGCCGGCATAGGGATGTCGACAAACTGTTCCACAGGAATAGCCATTGTTCATCGGAATAGGTCAGTGTAAACAATATCAATTGAGATACACTTATTATTATATGACAAACAACCATCCATTCAATTAAAGTCTTTAATAATTTAAAAAAAAACAAAACAAATTGTAGTGTAAAAATAATTTAACAATTTTTTTTAATGCAAACAAATTACCGGTAAATTTAAGTAACTTTTTTTATTTGTTTGTTTAATTAACTTACATTAATCGGGTATAACCAACAATACAAGAGCGCAACTTTTTGTATGACAATCAATGAAAACCATAGAAATGGTTTCTAAATTATAAAAATAGTTTAATTTAAACAAAACAAATAAATATTTAGTATGAAATAGTAGTATTATTAAACAATTTTTTTAGGTTTTAGTTGTTATTGAAAACTTACCAATAATACTAATGTTAAATTGAAAACACCAAACACATAGATTGTTATAATCAAAAAGCCTGTTGTAATTGACAGTCCCACTTGTGTTTTAGTATCACCATGGTCAATGTTGTTTTGGTCAATATAGCTCAATACTAATAGACCAATAGCAGACAACTAGATAAATTGTACATATATATAGATATATATATCATATATATATAAATTGATATTAAAAAATTATTAAATATACAGAATATTATATAATATTATTGCATATCTGTATTAAAAAAATATATATATATTTATTTATGAATAAATTAAATAGACTAATATTCAGTGAACAGGTGGATTAGTATTGATTAATGCTAAACTTAAATAATTGAATTATTTTAATTTTAATTTTATTTTAATTAATTTGATAACTTTTATAATAAAAGGTGTATTTTTAGTTACATAACTAATTTCATGATTTAATAATCATAATTGACATGTGATTTACGCTTAGGATTAATTTTTAATAAAAATGTATTAATTTTGATTATAGTTAACATTAAAAAAGTATCAAAATAATATTTTTTTATAGAGTAAACTATATTATTTATGGTACAGGTGCACTACAGTACAATACATACGATCCACATAGCATTGACCAGTGATGTAATGATAAATCTAATACAAGAACACATTATTACTACCAGTGTTTTAATTGATCACAGATTAGATAATCTCTAGTATACTCTACTGTATATAAAAATACTATATTTTTCAAATTGATTTTAAATTGCTAATTAAAAATTGAATTAGCAATCAATCAATAGAGTTGTAAGTGTATAAAATATTTGATGATATGCTGTACAATATGATACAGAATCTGTATTAGAGATCACTTTTTTAAGATATAATTATAATTGAATACTAAACACAACATTTTTGATATAAAAATAGATAATATTTTTGTTTTAGATATGAATATATGATATATCAACAACAAAAAACATTATCAAAGTTAATATATTATTATTAAATTAATAATTTAGTGATTATTTTACGCACAATCATTTATGTCTATATACAGTACACCCTATTATTACACTCGTACAGTACAGTAGTACATAATTAAAGACAATATGTTTAGAATAATATTTTATTAATAATTAAAAAAAAATAATATAACAATTAATGTGTTATAAAAATATTCAATTAACTCAATTGTTGTTTAATATTTTTTAATTAATAGACTAAAAATAATTAATTTATTCAATTTTCATGTTTTGTTTCAAGTAATGAGACATTATTGACTAAATTAGTACAATATATATTAATATTACTTTATTATACTGTATTATTAATATAAGATATCATTAGCATATTATATCGTAAAATTAAGTGTAAAATTGTTGTAATTTATTATTAATATGAATTGAAGTATTATTGTACATTAAATAATGTATATGTATTTGTATATAAAGTTTTATATTAATATTAATACATACAAACAATTAAAATAATCTAAATTTTTAACTTTAAATAAATAACGTTAAATAAATAATTTATTAGGCAAACTTTTTACATATAATTTGATAATAAAATTATAATCTACTGTATGTGTTATTATAGTTTATATATTTATAAGAAAACTGTTTGTTTTAAGGCATAAAAAATTAATTTATATCTAACATAAATTGTATAATAAAATTGATATACTGTTATAAAGTGAAAACACATTAAATAATAAATAATTAATTATAACTAGAATATAATTTTTATGATAATTGATATTTTAGTGATTTATAATTTTAATGTTATTATTATTTACTCTTTTACTTTTATATTTTAGACAAATTTGTAATATAGAAAGTTTAATATTAATATAAATTTTATTATTGTAATAATTATAAATTTTAGTAAATATGATTTTGAGAAAATTAATTGAAACAATTATTGATGACCAATAGACACAAGTATTCAACAAATTATATTTTCAATTGAGTTAAATAAATGACAACTAATTCATTGTTTGGTTTAATATTTAAATAAATCATTTTACTTAAAAAGTTAGTCAATAATATTTTATTGTCGATTCGATAATATTGGAGATAACAATCAATATTATTATTTTGACATTTTTTCGATTGATTTCAATCAATTAAATAGATATATATTAAATATATGATAACAATTGATCATAAATTTCCTAATGTTTGTATGGTTGACCATGCTGTAATACTTGTAATAAATTATAATTACTCTAATAGTCCAATTGAATTTTTAAATACTAATTATATACACTTAATACTATTGTTATTTTATAAAAGTGTTTTATATATTAACTATTGTGTTGTAATTATATTAATTAATATTTAAAGAAATAATAAGTATAAGAAAAACAAAATAATTATAATAATATATTGATTTTGATAGTATTAAAAACAATAATAATATTAATAAACAAAATAATTATATCAAATTCATAAAAATAAGTTTTTAATAATAAATATAACATTAATCATATTAACATACTTTATAATACAATTATAATAACAATCTTTATTAAATATAAATACAATAGACTTAAAAATAAATCTATAAAATAATTAAAATAAATTATACAATTTTATTACTTCACTTTTTCACTAATTTTATAAATATCAATTAAGTTGTGATTGTCAATTAGTATATTTTTATTATTTTTAAAATTTTTATTTTGTTTATTATATGATACATTAAAAATATTGATAACTTTATTATTGTTATAATTGTTAATTTTTGTAAAAATATTTCCGACAAATTTAATGGCCATTACTAATGATAAACCAAACCATAGACTGAAACCACTGGCTAATAGACATAAGTACTCAATGAATGACATTTTCAATTGTGTCGTATAAATGACAGCTAATTCATTGTTAGGTTTAATAAATAATAATATTGTTTTGTTGTCAGAGATAGTGTATAACATTTTAGTATCAATACGATAATACTCTAAATAACAATCAATGTTATCATTTTGACATTTTTTAGTACAAACATTAAATAGAAAATTAACTTCTTTTAAGTTAGCCATGGTTAGTTTTTTATTACTGGTTTGATTATAGACTAATTGTCCAGTCAAAAATTTGCCATACTTATCCAGTACCATTTTTGCTATACATTCAGATCTGCAATCGTATTGAGATTTTGATAACTGTCTCATTTGTTTTGTGTCCATTTGATAGCATCGGCGGTCATTTTTTGTTATATATGTCGATCGAGAAAAGTGTAAATTATAAATATTGTTACTAATCAACATGGTAAATTTTTTATTAAAATCTACCATGTTTACATTATACAGTCGACTTGCATTTGAATGTAATCTTACAAAAACATTAGTGGGAGTATGTGTTTGAATTAGATTATAAAATCTGATACTTAATTCATAACCATAATTCAAATCTAATTGGTTTTGTATCCATAAACAATGTAACGCATAGTAAACTTTCTGTTAGTGAAAGTTTAACCTTGGTAATTGTATTGCATGACACTCGACTGTTATTAATACCTAGAATATCACAATCTAACCAATTGTCGATTGGTTGCAATGAATTGAATTGATCTTCAATAGACATATTGTAGTTATAATCAAACATTTGTCTATATATTTGATTACTATTGTATGGTTGACCATGGTCCAATACTTGTTTGACAAAACTTTGATTCATTAATAATACTTTATCAACACATACTGTAATTGCCGGCAATTGAATTTCATTTTCCGATTCATACGACAAACTGGTAGACGTTTCGTACGAAAAGTATAATTGACTTATTGTAGAGCAATGATAGAGACAACCAATAATACAAAACAAATAAGGAAATAGTTTTATCAATTTAGTTAATACGGATATTAGTATTATTTTCATATTTTGCTTTAATATACTATTAGTATACCTTATATTAGTATTAATTATATTATTATATTATTACTTATTCAATAAATTATATTAGTATTATATTAGTATACTGTATATCTTAACTTCTATGAAACTCTGTATCTTTAATACAGTATAATGATAGTTATGATTGTTTTTTCATTTATATATATATATAACAGATGACAATTTTCATTATTAATTTTATATTAACTGAGAAAATAATTAAAATGCACTTAATAAATTTAATAACTATAATATCCCCAATTAAGTTATAACTTACTTGTTAGTAGTATTTTTTAAAACTATTTTTTACTAACAATTAAGTACCTGTACTATTAAAAGATATATGTAAAATAATAATAAACAAAATAATTATTTTTTATAGATTTTATTGTTTTCCACATAACTTACAATAATTAGTTTTTCATTATAAATAAATATATTAATTATTTAAATTAAAAATATTAAAATTTATGAAATACAAATCGAATATTATTGAATAATTTATTATTTATAATAAAAAATATTTTTATTCTATAATATATAGAATTTATTATACAATATTTTAATATTATAGCAAGATTAATTTTTGATTAATTTTAAGATATATTTAATTTGAAACAGAAATAAATAAAAATTAGTTTTAACATTAAGTTTATAATATACAGTAATGCTAATATATAATAATATATATTATCTTAATTATTTTATTATAACAAATATATATTTTATAAATTACAGATTCATGACTATAGTGAACAACTATTTGTGTAATTATTATACTAAATAATATTAATTTTCCAAATTATTAGTTGTGGATCAATTGAAATGTAATATAAGTTATATTACATATCTTTTTATAATTAAACCAAACTATGATAGTGTAGTGATAGTGCATAAATAAAGTATAATTAAATGTTAATTTTATAAATACAACTTTCTTTATTTCTATGAAATAAAACATTTTTCTCATAACTAGATGTTCATTATGTTTAGTATATGTTATATTAACAATATTTATAATTTTTTATATTTTTATTAATATTTCCGACAAATTTAATGGTAACTACTAATGATAAGACTGATTGATTTTTTGAATGTCTTTTAATATGACATACAAAGTATAAATACTTAAATAAAAATATATAATAATAATATTTCTTAATAAATAATAAATTTATAAAAATCAATATTTTAAACTTTATAGTTTAAAATAAAAAAGCTTGGATATATATATTAAAATATTTTTAAATAAAGTTACAAAAATAATACTTTTTATTAAATCAAACGTTTAAACATAAAAATGTGAATAATTAACATTTAATAGAATACATGAAAATAATAACAATAAAATTATATTATTTAAAATATTTTGTTAAGATTATTATCATTATTTAAATTTTTAGAATAATGACGATTATCTAAATTAACATTTATTTTATGAAAACAAATATCTTTCTTAATTAAAGACAAATTAATTACTTGTGAATTATCAGACTTTTTATGATAATAATTATAGATATCTATTAAAATATTTTTTAAAAACTTAATGGCAAATAATACGGATAAACCAAACCATAGACTGAAAATACTGGCCAATAAACAGAGAAACTCAATGAATGACATTTTCAATTGAGTTACATATATGACAAACAATTCACTCGTTGGTCGGACTCTAATAATAACTCTACTATTGTCTCTGTGAGGATGTATTGCAATATTATCAATAGTATAAACTTCTAGATAACATTGAATATTATGATTTAAACATTTTTTATAACAATAATCATGTAATGTGTCTAGGTCAGTTTGATTGATTGACTTAAAGTATACATCCAATGATCGATTGTATGTGAGTTGTCCCACCCATAATCTGTCAAATCTTTTAGGCGCTAATTTTGCTATACATTCAAATGTACAATCATAGAGTGACCTAGATAATTTTCTTTTATCAACAATATTCATATTATAACATTTGTTAGTTTTATTAACAAATGTTTTACGAGTAAAATAAATATTGTTAAACCAATTGTTCAAAATCATCAAAAACTTTTCATCTTCCATATGCTTGTAAATGGGATAACCATTTGAATGTAATCTAATGTAAACGTTGTGCACATACTTAGTCTGTAATAAGTTATGAAAATGAATGTCCAATTCATAGGCCGTACTATCGGATGTAATGTTTGAATTGAAAACATCCAAAAACAATGTAACGCATAGGTATTTCCTTTCCAATGCAAAATGTACATTGGTCATATTTGTATAACGTATACTTTTTGAATTGATTATCAAATCACAATAATACCATTTATCAATTGGTCTCAATAATTCAAATTGTTGTCTAACAGTCAAACTATTCATAAAAGTTTCCAGTTTATGATATTCATGATTATCTAATCTAATTTGACCAGTATGATTTATTACTGATTGCTGGATCAGTTTATCCAATGGAAATATTTTGTCAATACATACGGTTATTGCCGGAAATTTTATCAAATTTTCCGATTCATAAGTAATACTAGTAGTTGTTTGGTATGCAAAATACATACTACTTATATAGTTTGACTGAAAAATACAGCCACAAATACATAGCATATAAACTATAAAACGTGACAAATATTTTAAAACTTTTGATATCTTAAAATCCATAATTTAATTATAAGTTAACTTAAAATAAAAATTATGCGTATTTTATATTATATTTTATAAATAGCTATCAAAAATTGTGTAAAAATAGACAACATTTTACTTATATATATTTTTAGTTAAGATTTTATTGATTATTTAAATATATTATTATTCAATACTATAAATCATTATGAATACAAATGAAATAAACAAAATAATTACCATGATAATTATTTTAATAAAATGTTTTTTAATATTTTTAATACTCCAATATTTTTAATAAAATGAGTTCTTTATAAATTTAAAAATAACTTTATAATTAAATTATTGATGTTTTTGAATCTTAGATAATTATTTTGTAATGAGATTTTAAGTCAATTAAATAATAATAGCAATTTCATAATAAAACTAATTTAATATAACAAACAAATTATTTAGTTATTGATTTATATTGTTAATGTTTTTAATATATTTCAAAACATATTTTTAATAAGTTATAATATTATATATAAATTATTATTTTTTATTTTTTTATTATTTAGATTATTAGTAATATTATTTTTTATTTTAAAGTTTTTATATCAATTTATCTTAAAAATAAAAATGTATAACATAATTCTGTTCTATTAAATAATTAATTGAATATACTGTACATATTATTTTTAAAACATTATTAAATAGAAATAAAAATTAAAGTGAACAATTTTTTAAAATGTAATATATAAATTTTAATAGGCAAACATAATAATAATTATTATTATTAATTATTTTAACATTTAATAACATTTTAAAAATGGCGGTAAACTTTAAATATACTATTTATAATTTTATAAATTACACAGAAAAATTTACTTATCATAATTAATTAAAAATATTTAATACAAGACACATTATTATTTTTAGAAAATAAGTAGATTTTTTTAATCAAATAATAAATTAAAAATTTGTTATTAATGAAATTATTAACTATTACTAATTTATTATTAAATATTTTATACTATTTTTTACAGAAATAAAAACATAATATTAAAATTATATATTAAATATAATAAATTAATATTAAGTTTTTATTATTCACATGAGAAGGATAACTACTGAATATAACTAATATAAATATAATTAATTAATTTAAGATAAATAAAAAATATATTAATACTTAAAAATTTTGACATTCTTAATATTTGTAGGATAATGTCCATGTATCATATTTATTTTATTAAAATAAACATCTTGCTTAATCAATGGCTTATCTAATAGGTTTGACTGACCTATTTTATAATAGTAATTATAAATATCAGCCAAAATAGTTTTGATAAACTTAATGGCAAATAATATGGATAAACCAAACCATAGACTGAAAATACTGGCCAATAGACAGAGAAACTCAATGAATGACATTTTCAATTGAGTTACATATATGACAAACAATTCACTCGTTGGTCGGACTCTAACAATGACTCTACTATTGCCTGTGTGAGCATATATTGCCTTATTATCAATACTATAAAATTCTAGATAACATTGAATGTTATGATTTAAACATTTTTTATTACAATAATCATGTAATTTGTCTAGGTCAGTTTGTTTGATTTGCTTAAAATATACATTCAATGATCGATTGTATGTAAGTTGTCCCACCCATAATTTGCCAAATCTATCAGGTGCCAATTTTGCAACACATTCGAATGTACAATCGTAGAGTGACCTAGATAATTTACGTTTTTCAATCATGGTCATCTTTGTACATTGCTCATTTTCATTAATATATGTAACGCGACTAAAATGAATATTATTCCATAGATTATTCAAAATCATCAAAAACTTTTCATCTTCCATATGCTTGTAAATGGGATAACCATTTGAATGCAAACGTATGTATACATTGTGGACGTATTGGGTTAGCAATAGATTGTGTAAATGTATTTCCAGTTCATAGGCTGTACTGTCGTACGTAATATTAGAGTCGAAAACACCCAAAAACAATGTAACGCACAGGTATTTCCTTTCCAATGCAAAATGTACATTGGTCATATTTGTATACCGTATACTTTTTGAGTTCATTTTCAAATCACAATAATACCATTTATCAATTGACATCAATTGTTCAAATTGTTGTTTAACTGTCATAGTATTCATGTATTTTTCAAGCTTTGGATATTCATTGGGTTTAATTTTATTCGTATGATTTAATATAGATTTCTCAATGCTTTTATCCAATGGAAATATTTTGTCAATACATATGGTTATTGCCGGAAATTGTATGACATTTTCCAATTCATATGATATACTAGTAGTTGTTTGATATGCAAAATACATATTACTTATGTTATATGACTGATAAATACAACCAAATAGGCATAGAATGTATGCAAGTATTTGTGATGCTTTTTGTGTGATTTTCCATAAATCAAATTCCATTATAAATATTATTAGTATTTATAAATTTATTATAATTGCAAACAGTTTTCAGTGAAAATCCTTTATTAAAACTAAACTTTGTTAATATTGAAAACATTTTTCTCTACTTATATATTTGTTTACAATTTATTGATTTTGTTTATCTACTTTTATATTAAATATTGTTATAAAACAATTAATTGAATTTACATACTTTTAGTTATCTGATAATAATATAATAATTTTCAGATAAACAGTAAACAACTTTGATATATAATTATTTTTATTATAATATTATAATTAAATAAATTGTATTCATAGATATTCTAAGTTTAATAATTATTTTTGTTTTTTGTTACTCAATAACAATAATAATTGTTAACTCTATTGAAAACAACAAAATAATTAAATCATATTTTAGTATATTTATTATTATTAAATTGAATATACTTGAACATTAAAATGTATTATTTTATTGATAAAAATTTTGTTATTATGAAACCAATAAAATAGCAATATTAATAAATAGTAACATTTGTATTAAACTTTATATTAATTATTATTGAACTATTTTATCAATAAATGCTAAGATAATATTATATTTTCTAGATAGATAATTAAGATAAAATCAATATATTAAGTTTAATTTTTAATTAATTTACTTTAAAAACATATTAAAGAATGTTATAAAAATATACATTACCAAAAACAACGACAGTTTATAGTGTATTATTTAATAATAAAAATTGTTTAATGCTTTGTTATTTTAATTAAAAACTAGTATTTAATTATTAATTACTATCGAATTAAGTGATTATTTTAATCACACAAAAATAAAAACATTTCAAACAGTATTTACACTAAAGTATTATTTTATTATATGTACACAAAATACTTGATTTTTGTTTATAATTTTTTCAAATTTTTAATTTTGACATCAGATTTGAATGAAACATCAAAAATAAATAAATAGTGATTCAGAATCACAATAATTGTCATATCTCTTGAGGAACATAGAAAAATGGCGGACAAAGTTAAAAAATAACATTAGATTAAATAAATAAACTTTAGTATGAAATTTATTTGTTAAAAATTAAAAGTTAAAAATATTAATAAAAAAATGGAAATTAATTATCAAAATATAAATAAAAATGTAATTAAATTAAAATATCCAATAATTATTATTTGAAGTTATTTCAAATTAAAATACAATCGACTATATTTAATATGTGTTTTATTTTATGAATTATAGAAACTAACATTTAAAAAATATTTATTTTTTTACTAAATTATGTTAAATTAAAGTACTAATTATGTCAGAGGGACAGCCCTTTTAGTGGGACATAAATTGACACATATATGGATATACAGATAATGGGTTAAACGCATAGTCTGTTTCAATGCAAGAGAGAGTGATTTCGAACTTATTCTTTAAAATTTTATATTTTATAAATAAATATTGTTTTTTATTTAATTATTTAATTATTTTTATAAATATAATAAATTATAGAAATATAGTATTCATTTAATGATTTTTTGTTTCTTTAACTAAAAAATATAAATTATTATATTACGCTTATATTTACTTTATTTAAATGAATAATCATTTATTTAATGAATTTCTTATATACAGTATTTATTTCATTATAATATCTTAATAAATCTTTCTTTTATTGTTAGTTATTGTAAAAAATAATACCAAAATAGGTTATATTGGTATTTTGAGTACAATTTATTAAAACATTAAAATAAAATAATCTCTGTTTCAACAATAGTTGAGTCAACATTCGAAGACAGGGAAGTTTACTAAAAAATCCTTCAAATTTCACCTTAAAATAAGTAAATATATATTTTACTTCCATTCATCATTTAAAAAATACATTTTATATAATTACAATAAATAAGTATCAAAACTTAAATATTTAGCATAAAATGTTATTAAAATATTTTAAACTATATTTTAATCTATTAAATTTATTAATATTATTTATCAATATTACTCAAAATAGTCTAAATAATCAAACAATATGAGTAGCAAAAGGAAATATATTCTCTTGGAATTCCCAGTGAATGAACAAAATTGAGAACTTTTAAAGAGTTATAAAACGAATAAAGGAATTTAATCGAAACCTAATTGCAATTAAAATATTTAAATAAAATGTTTGTAAAATGTTATCAATATATAAACTATTCCTACCTTTTTGGTAGTAATTTTATATATTATTATAATACACGTACCATTAGTTATATATATAAAAGTATATATAAGCTAATTAATATTTAAATACTGTTAATTAAATTTACAATTATGTTTGTTACTCTTGTTTTAACAATTATAGTTTTTAACATTAACACAATTCTAGGTAATTTAATGTGATATTATTTTTTTTAAGTATTATTTAATTTCATATTTTTAATGTTTTTTTAATTATAGGCGATGATTTTGTCTGGACATATAATAGTATGTATAATAAATTAATTTTATTTATATTATATAATTTTTAATTTAATAAAATTAATTAGACCAGGATCAATGGCCCGCACATTATCCCAACTGTTCGACAAAAAATAAATATCAAACACCTATTGATATTCAGACCAATACTGCTAAATATGACAATAATTTGAAGAAAATTGAATATAAAAACTGGGATCAAGACATTGACAGCAAATATTTACAATTAAAAAATCTTGGACACAACGGTATTATTTTAAAATAAAACTTTATTATTATTTTTTAAAATTTTATTTTTGTTTATAAATATATCTATAGGTCGACTGCAAATACTTCCCGATTACAAAAACAAACCGTTTGTCACGTTTCGCAATCAAATCTATGAACTAATTGAAGTTCACTTTCATTGGGGTTTAACTGATAAAAATGGTAGTAATCATGCAATTAATGGAAAATTTTATGCATCGGAGGTAAACATTAATGAAATAAAAAATATTAAAATTTAATTAAATTTGTCCATAAATTGAATATTATGTAAATCACTAATAGATTCATTTGGTTGGAAAAAATATAAAGTATCCGACTCTTGACATAGCATTGGAACAAAATGATGGAGTTTTAGGAATAACTGGGTTTTTTGACCTGGATCATACACATAATAAAGTTATGGCACCCATTATGAAACAGTGGCACCAAATTCAGAAAGTCGAGTCAATGGTTCCGTTCAATAGTAGCTTTAATTTTGCTAAATTACTGCCCGAAAACCCTAAAAGCTATTATTATTACGTGGGATCTACTGCTTATCCGAAATGTGGTCCAACACAGTGGGTTATATTCAAACAAACTACTAAACCAGGACTGTCTCACTATGAGGTAAGTGTTCAAATGTTTTATATATTGAATATATATATATATATATATATATATATACAATATATATCTCATATATATAAATAATGTGTTAATATTATTTTGCTATAGTTATCAACATTCCGTACCATAGATGACAACCCGTTTAACGGTAAGACACCAAAGGTTTTGCAAAATAGAAGACATTTGCAGCCATTGAACGGGCGATCCATTTGGAGTTCAGATTAATTAATACAAAATATTTATTACAAATATTTCTAGAAACTTATGATTTGACTATTTCTATATTTTAATATAATAAACTCAATTTTATTTTTTTATTGATTGATAAAATATAATTAATTAATTAATAACCAGTTGAGAATGCTATAAAAGCATTTTCATACGAACTCCTTAACTAAAAAAACAAAAAATACCAAAAAAATATGTAGCAAAACGTGGATTCGAACCTATGTACTCGTGGGACAGACAGACCGACAGAATTATAGAATGCATATTTCAGTCGTGATTATGATTTTCAGCTGAAAATAATGATTATGTAATTTAATTTTTAATAACAATTACATATGAAATGTATTTTTTAATAAAATATAATAAATTTTTAAACTATTTTTAAATTTAGACATTATTTATTATACTAATGGTTTATTTTTCTAAATATAATAAACAATATTTATATATATATATAATTAAAATATTAAATATTAAATATTATAAATATTTATTTTATTAGTTTACTTAATAATAAATAATTATTTCCACACAATCTGATTGTTTACTCCATTTAATTTAAGCTCAATTTTATCGATTGTCAATTTTAGTAGACTTTCCTCATAACTAAAGTTTGACCACTTTTTATCATTAATTGTTAGTTCATTTGGTTTTGTTTTCAGTCCCAAAACTATTACATTATTGACAACTATTTCCTGTTCCCGATATTTATCAACCACTGAGTGAGTGGACAGTATTCCCTAAATTTATAAATAATAAATATAATATTAACAATTATAATCAATTTATAATCAATTGTATTTAACATACTTTTGATACATCAAAATTGAATAATGAATATCTGCCACTTTTAATTGGATCAATACTATCTCCATCGTCCCAATATAACTGTCCCTCAGCACCGGCATTATGATCCAACACAACAACTAAAGTGAATTTTTCTTTTCGCATAGCAGTAGTAGTTTGTCGTGACGGTAGAATTGGCACTACATTACCACCCTTAAGGAAAACGTTAACTTTATCTAACGGTGTCTCAAACTGCATAGTTTTACCACTGCTATCAACTGGTTTTCCATAACCAGAAACACTATATGGATACCATATACCTGACGGTAAATAGACGTCAAGTTTGGTGACGTTAGGTTTGGTTACCGGTGCCATCATTAAGGCTGAACCCCACATGAACTGTGTTTCGGCAACTGATGGATCGTAAGCACGGGGATCACGAGGATATTCCATAAACACCGGGCGTGCTATTGTATCAGCGTTTGTATTTGCTTTATAAAACAATGTATAGAGATATGGTATTAATGTATATCGTGTTTCTAGTGCTTGTTTGTATGCTCTGGTGACTAATGAACCCATAGCTACTGGATCCTGGTCCATATGTTTTTCATTGTGATTTCTATAAGATTATAAATACATAATTTAGTTAATTGAAACAAAAAGATATTATAATTTATAAGTATTAATTTGTAAAGAAAATATATAGTAAATAAAATAATAATAAATATACCTTGCAAATGGATAAAATGCTCCCAATTGAATCCACCTAGCACACATTTCCTGATAAAAACTGTTATTGCTGGCTGAACCAGTAAACCCGCAAATGTCTGCGCCCACCAAAGGTATGCCAAACATATTCATATTCATAATGGCTATAAAATCAATAAATATTATTTTTATTAACTTATAAATTGTGTGATATTCATGAATAATAGTAATTAAAAATTAAATAAACTTTACATGGTATAGTCCATGCCATTTCATCATAAGTGGTATAAACATCACCGTTCCAGTGTCCAGCATACTGTCCCATACCTGGACTGGTAGATCGTGATATGATAAACGATCGCTTTTGGCGCACACTTTTCAATGCACTATAAAAACAAAACAAAAATAAATTATTAATAAACAACACATTAGTTAGGTTAGCCCTTACTTATCGGTGACAATTGCCATATACAAGCTGTACAAGTTGTGTACGTCATAGTGGACACCGATATGATGTTTGGATGTCATACAGATAGTCTGGTCATACATTGTATTGTTCATACGTTTTGGCAAATAAGGCGGATACTCGAGTGAACTGTTTTTAGGACAGGCAGTTATATGTCGGGAATTGGAAATCTCGTTCATATCATTCCAGGCGCCGTCGATCGGTGCGATTTTGTGAAACTGTCGAAACTGTTTGGTCCAGTAATCGGTTGCTTTTGGATTTGTAAAGTCGGGAAACACTGTGTAACCACTTTTGTTCCAAACGTGACCAACAAATGTAGTGTTAGTATTGGTTTTTACAAACAGATCATCATTTACGCCGTCATCATAGGGAGGGTAAGTTCCTATGGGTTGTTAGTATTAATAAAATATGTTATTTCAAAGATGAGTAATATCCAATTTGTTTGATAATTATATAATATTGATATATTCACAAACCTTTTGGTTGTTTGGGATCAATACCCGGATCAATAATAGGCACGTAATGCATACCAATATCATGCAAATGTTCAATCCATTGGCCAAAACCTCCGAACCTGAGCTCATCCAATGTAAAGTCATTGAAGCTAACCATATACTCTTTGGCGTTCCACTGGACATCAAACGGTATGCCCGCAGCAATTGTACGGTTGGTTATAAGCATTTGTTTTGCCAATGTATCCGGTTGGCTACAGCAACGACACTGATGATAACCCAGTGACCAAAATGGCGGTATTGCTGGTTTACCCACTAAACTGACGTATTGACGGACGACGTCATCGGGAGACTGGCCTACAAATACAAATATATCTATTATTCCTCCGATGGGACGCCATGTGATGGCCGGTTCGGGTTGTAATAGAATATCCATAGCATTAGAGTTTCTTAAGTAAACTCCGTTCGATAAACCGGTGTTTTTGTCCTCAATGTTTAAGTGAAACGGATGGGAACCGTATAGTGGCCTATCATTGATAGGATGTTGTTCGTGATTGAATACTGAATAGATGTGCCATTCAGTGTCCTTAAGGAACGGCGCTTTTTGTTCACCAATACCGTAGATAAGGGGTGAACTTAGTTTAGATTTGAGTTGAATAAATTGATTTGTATAAATGAGTTTGGTCAAATCAGTTTGAAATATTGGGGCACCATTGGCCAAACGTGTTATTTCCAGTAAACCTTTATTATTAGAAATATAAATTCACAATTTTAATTAATTTTAATTAAATTATCAGTATTCTTTTATTATAAAAGTAAAATATTGATAATAATAATTGTGTTTATATGGATTATATACCTGTTTTATCAACATTGACTTTATAGAATGCATTCAAAGAATCGGTAGGTTTTGGTAGATTAAGCTCAGGTAGTGTCGGTTCATAGCGTTTGTTCTTTATATCTGTAAATCTCAATCGCAATGACCGATCATTAAGTAGTGTAATCTCTACGGTCACAACCGGTATTTCCGCGGGAAAACCCGACGGTGTCTGGCGTTCCAGTTTGATCTTAAATACGCTAACAGTACCATGCTCATTTTCTTGTTGGTCAACTTGTGTTACTTTATAGCCCATATAGTCGGTCGGCATAAAACATGTTGGTATGTATTTTGCTAAAACCACAATCAAAACAAATATTAGGTAATTAAAAAAAATAATTTTTATTTAAAAATTAATGAATCTTACGATTTCCATTGATTAAGCTAGATGAAAGTTTAGTATTAAAACAACATTTGCGCTTGGTACATTCAGCTAATGTAACATTGTCGATTTCTGGTGTACAATCGATACGGTGATCAATGTTAATATTAGCACATTGTTCACCATTACAAATGTTAATTATAGATATAGCTAATATAGCTATACCATATAAAACTTTTATGTCATAATATTTATTCATCACATTAACGAGTTATTTATGTGATTTAGAAACAAATTATTATTTAATACAATATTAACATTAACTATACTTATATTTATAGATTTTTTTTGCTATAAATCACATCAATGTGAAAGTAAAAATATGTTTAAAATCAAATGGAAAAATATCTTATTTTATTGATTATTCATTAAAATAATTAATATTAGAGTACACTCTACTGTATATTTTATAATATATTGTTTTTATAGATTAAAAACTACGTGAATGTGATTAATTTATAAAATACTTATTGTACTTGTTTTTATGAAAAATATAATAAATCTCCAAATTGTCTATTAATAATTGATAAGTTTAATAACACACACACTTAAAAACAAATTAGTTATACTGTATGTGATTTTCCAAAAAATAGTATTGTTAATTAATATAAAAGTGATAAATTTATCTCAATTTTAATATCTACTTTGTTTTTTAAGTATATTAGAAATAAAATTTTTATATTAATAATCTACAGTATATCCGATGATCTCAAAAGCGAGCTTAATAAATTATTTTTTTTAAATAGGCTAAGTAGATTATTTTGTAAAATTAAATATTCATTATTTGTATATGTTATTTTTAATATATACTAATTTTAAGCACTAATATAAGCACAAAATTATTTACACAAATTATTATAGTTTATTATAATGTAGTTTATTGTACTGTAGTTTATTATACTGTACTGTATTAAAAATATTATATAATTATGACTTTATTATAATATCAAAATTATGAAAAGTAATAGTTTAAAAGGCAATAAACAACTGTACCCTTAAATCTGGGTTCAAATATATATATATATATATATATACAGTATATATATATAATGTTAGTTATATTATATTATATAAACATTAAAAATAATTTGATATCATATGTATGGTGTTATATATATAGAGATTTAATAAATTTTTAATTTTTTGTAAAAATATTTGTGTAAATAATTTTGGGCTTATATTTACATTAACAAATAATTTTTTTAATGTAATACTTAATTATTTAGTTTTTATAACTCATTTCTGATAATTATTTTTAATTTAAATTAAAGAGAATTTATTAAACATAAAATTTAATATATTAATCATCAAGTATAATTTGGACACTTCAAATCAGTAGTCATTTACAGTAAAATAAAAATATATAGATTTAAATATTGATTTATATAATGTTTTTTTATAATAATGCATGTATCATATTGTTTTATTGATCATTAATATTATTATTATTAAAATTTCCAATAAAAAAACAACATGCAAATTTGCTGTGTAATTTTTTAATTGTTTGTAACAGTAAATATTTATAGAAATATTTATATAATTTTATATACTGTAGATACTTATATTAATAAGTAGTTAATGTTTAATACTAGATTAGATAAAATATATTTTATCAATTAAAAATTAAAATTAAATCACATATTTTGTAACTATTGCATCCAAATCTTAGTTAATCACTTAACACGTGTTCAATAAATGATTATTTTTTATTGACTTTAATCAAAATAATCAATTAAATAATAGAAATTTTTCAATATTTTCATAATTAGTTTTTATTGTATAATAATAAAAATATCTAAAACACAAAATATTTATCTTAAAGATAACGAATAAGTTTAATTATATTTAAGAGTTATTATTTATATAATAATTATATTGTATTATAAAAAATAATTCACAAAATAATTCTTATAATTATAAAAATTCAATTTATTATCATTAGTATTAATTTTTACAATTATTTTAATAATTTTTTTATTTTTTCAATACTGATTTTACATAAAACCCTAATTTAAATAACTTTATTTCCACACAATCTGATTGTTTACTCCATTTAATTTAAGCTCCATTTTATCGATTGTCAATTTTAGTAGACTTTCCTCATAACTAAAGTTTGACCATTTTTTCTGATTCATTGTTATTTCATTTGGTTTGGCTTTTAGTCCCAAAACTATTACATTATTGACCACTACTTCTTGATCCCGATATTTATCTACTACTGAACGAGTAGAGAGTGAGCCCTAAATTTTTAAATATATTTATAATTAATATTATAAATCAAATATTAAATAAAAATGTTTTCAAACATACTTTTTGCACATCAAAGTCAAACAATGAATATTTATTATTTTCAATTGGATCGATACTATCTCCATCGTCCCAATACAACTGTCCCTTAGCACTACCACTTTGATCCAAAACAACAACTAATGTGAACTTTTCTTTTCGCATAGCAGTAGTAGTTTGTCGTGAAGGTAGCACTGGTACAACATTACCACTCTTTAGGAAAACATTAACTTTATCTACCGGTGTGTCAAACTCTAATGTTTGACCACTACTATTGATGGGTTTTCCATAAGTGGCAGCACTGTAAGGATACCATAGACCTGCCGGCAAATATACATTAAGTTTTGTGACGTTAGGTTGTGTTACTGGTGCCACCATTAAGGCCGATCCCCACATGAACTGTGTTTCGGCAATTGATGGATCGTAAGCGTGTGGATCGCGCGGATGTTCCATAAATACCGGGCGCGCTATGGTATCGGCATTAGTGTGTGCCTTATAAAACAATGTATAGAGATATGGGAGTAATGTATATCGTGTTTCCAATGCGTGTTTAGCTGCCCGTGTGACTACAGTGCCCAATGCTACTGGATCCTGATCCATTTTCTTTGTATTATGATTTCTATAATAGAAAAATATAAAAAATATTATAATAAAATTTAAAGACAGTATAATAAATTAATTAGATTTAAAAATGAACTGCAAATAATTAATTTAGTTTACTAACAGTACATTTAAGATAATAACATAACTAGTATTACTAATATAATAGCCGCTATAATAATTAATTTTTAAAAACAAAAATAATTACCTAGAAAATGGATAGAATGCACCCACTTCAATCCACCTAGCACACATTTCCTGATAGAAACTAGTATTTTTTGCATTTCCCAAAAATCCACAAATGTCTCCGCCCACTAATGGTATGCCAAACATATTCATATTCATGATTGCTGTTTTGAAATATAATTATTTTAGACTAATATAATTAAACATTTAATAAATATAAATATATACATGGTATAGTCCAAGCTAATTCCTTATATGTAGTATCAGTATCGCCATCCCAGTGTCCAGAGTAACGTCCCTGACCTGGACTGGTAGCTCGTGATATAACAAATGATCGTTTTTGGCGAACACTTTTCAGAGCTCTATACAAAAAAAATAACATTTTTAAAAATTGATTAAAATAAAATAAATAACTTATAAAATATTTTTAAAAATTACTTACATATCAGTGGCAATTGCCATATAAATGCCATACAAATTGTGTACATCATAGTGGACACCGATATGATGTTTGGCAGTCATACATAGTGTCATATCTGTCATACTTTTCAAATTTTTTGGTACATATGGTGGCGATTCTAGTGAACTATTTTTAGGACATGGATACTTTTTCTCAAAATTAGATATTTCATTCATATCATTCCAGGCGCCGTCGATCGGTGCGATTTTGTGAAAATCACGGAACTGTTTGGTCCAATATTCGGGTGATTTAGGGTTTGTAAAGTCAGGCCATACGGTAAAACCGCTTTTGTTCCAAACGTGACCCATAAATGTACCGTTTGTACTGTTTTTGATAAACACATCATACTTGACTCCGTCATCATATGGAGGATAGGTTCCTATGTATAAAATAAAATTATTAATTTACTTTATCTATAACTACCCGTCTAAAAATAGACATTATGTACAAACCTGCTAGTTGTTTTGGGTCAATACCCGGATCAATGATAGGCACGTAATGCATACCAATATCATGCAAGTGTTCAATCCATTGACCGAAACCTCCATACCTGTCCTCATCTAAAGTAAAGTCATTGAACTGAACCATATACTCTTTGGCGTTCCACTGGACATCAAACGGTATTCCCGCAGCAATTGTACGGTTAGTTATAACCATTTGTTCGGCTAATGTATTTGGTTGAGTACAGCATCTGCATTGATGATAACCCAGTGACCAGAAAGGAGGCATTGATGGTTTACCAATTAAACTAATGTATTGTCGCACCACATCATCGGGAGATTGACCAACAAATACAAACACATCGAGTATACCTCCAATGGGACGCCATGTGATGGCCGGTTCGGGTTGTAATAGAATATCCATAGCATTGGAGTTCCTTAAGTAGACTCCGTGTGCCAAACCGGTACTCTTGTCTTCAATGTTTACATAGAACGGATGGGAACCGTAAAGTGGTCTAAATGAATCACCCGGTTGATCATGATTGAATACTGAATACATGTGCCATTGAGTGTCCTTAAGGAACGGTGCCTTTTGTTCACCGATACCATAGATCAGGGGTGAACTTAACTTATTTTTAAGTTGTATAAATTGATTTGTGTAAATAAGCTTGGTCAAATCAGTTTTAAATAATATGGCACTATTAGCCAGTCTTGTTATTTCAAGTAAACCTTAATTATTAAAAATATTAAAAGTTTATATTATTAAAGTTTTTAAAATAATATTTATTATTATAGTACCTGTTTTATCGACATTGACTTTATAGAGTGTATTAAAAGAATCGGTAGGTTTTGGTAGATTAAGCTCAGGTAGTGGCGGCTCATATCGTTTGTTCTTCATATCGGTAACTCTCAGTCGCAATGACTGATCATTAAGTAGCGTTATCTCGACGGCAACTACAGGTATTTCCGCGGGAAAACCCGACGGTATCTGGCGTTCAAGTTTAACCATAAATACGCTAACATGACCTTGATCATTTTGTTGTTCTCCAACTTGGGTTACTTTATAGCCCGTATAGTCGGTCGGCATAAAACATTTTGGTATGAATTTAGCTATATGGTAAACAAAAAAAAATATTATTATTATTATTTTAAAAATTTAAAAATAATTTTTGCATCATATTACATTTGTTGCTTGTTAAGCTACGTGTAAATTTATCATTGAAACAACATTTGCGCTTGGTACATTCAGCTAATGTAACATTGTCAATTTCTGGTGTACAATCAATACGGTGATCAATGTTAATATTAGCACATTGTTCACCATTACAAATGTTAATTATAGATATAGCTAATATAGCTATACCATATAAAACTTTTGTATGATAATATTTATTCATCACATTAACGAGTTATTTATGTGATTTAGTAAAAAAATTATTATTTAATACAATATTAACATTAGCTAAGCTTATATTTATAGTTTTTTTGTTGTTGTTATAAATCACATCAATGTGAAAGTAAAAATATGTTTAAAATCAAATGGAAAAATATCTTATTTTATTGATTATTCATTAAAAATAACTAATATTAGAGTACACTCTACTGTATATTGTATAATATATTGTTTTTATAGATTAAAAACTACGTGAATGTGATTAATTTATAAAATACTTATTATACCTGTTTTTATGAAAAATATAATAAATATCCAAATTGTCTATTAATAATTGCTAAGTTTCATATCATACACACTTAAAAACAAATTAGTTATATGTGATTTTCCAAAAAATAGTATTGTTAATTAATATAAAAGTGATATAAATTTATCTCAATTTTAATATCTATAATACTTTGTTTTTTAAGTATATTAGAAATAAAATTTTTATATTAATAATCTATATCTGATCTCAAAAGTGAGCTTAATAGATTATTTTTTTTAAAAAATAGGCTAAGTAGATTATTTTGTGAAATTAAATATTCATTAAGGACGGTTCACATATTACGTTCGCACTTGAGGAGAGGAGGTTGGCCAAAGCGAACTTTTTTGAACGAGGGGAAGGGGAGGGGTAGAGACTTTAAGAACGTTTGCATTTAAATAATTTATCATTTCTTGTGGTGGGGGTTAGCGGTTATGGACATGGACATGCGAACATAGGCGATGGAGGGGGTCTAGATTTATTAAAAAGTGCATACTTAATATGTGAACAGCCCCTTATTCTATGTCTTATATTTTGAATATATAATAATGTTTAAGCACTAATATAAACACAAAATTATTTAAACAAATTAATATAGTTTATTATACGACCGCTTTCATCATATAATATACGATCACATAATAAACTTAATTAATTTTTAATTTTTTGTAAAAATATTTGTGTAAATAATTTTTAGCTTATATTTACATTAACAAATCACTATTAAATATTTGATATTTTTTTAAATGTGTTACATAATTATTTAATTTTTATAACTGATTTCTGATAATTATTTCCTATTTAAATTAAAGAGAATTTATTAAACAATAAAATTAATATATTAATAATCAAGCACATCAACACAATAGTCATTTACAGTAAAATAAAAATATATAAATTTAAATATTGATTTATATAATGTTTTTATTTATAATAATGCATGTATCATATTGTTTTATTGATCATTAATATAATTATTATTAAAATTTCCAATAAAAAAACAAAATGAAAATTTGCTGTGTAAAAATTATTAATTGTTTTTAACAGTATATATTTATATAATTTTATATACTGTATATACTTCTATTAATAAGTAGTTAACGTTTTATAATAGATTAGATAAAATATATTTTATCAATTAAAAATTAAAATTAAATCACATATTTTGTAACAATTGCATCCAAATCTTAGTTAATCACTTTACAAAACACGTGTTCAATAAATGATTATTTTTTACTAACTTTAATCAAAATAATCAATTAAATAATAGAAATTTTTCAATATTTTCATAATTAGTTTGTATTATATAATAATAAAAATCTCTAAAACACAAAATATTTATCTTAAAGATAACGAATAAGTTTAATTATATTTAAGAGTTATTATTTATATAATAATTATATTGTATTATAAAAAATAATTCACAAAATAATTCTTATAATTATAAAAATTCAATTTATTATCATCAGTATTAATTTTTACAATTATTTTAATAAAATTTTTATTTTTTCAATACTGATTTTACTTAAAACCCTAATTTAAATAACTTTATTTCCACATAACATGATTGTTAACTCCATTTAATTTAAGCTCCATTTTATCGATTGTCAATTTTAGTAGACTTTCCTCATAACTAAAGTTTGACCACTTTTTCTGGTTAATTGTTATTTCATTTGGTTTTGTTTTTAGTCCCAAAACTATTACATTATTGACCACTACTTCTTGATCCCGATATTTATCTACTACTGAACGAGTAGAGAGTGAGCCCTAAATTTTTAAATATATTTATAATTAATATTATAAATCAAATATTAAATAAAAATGTTTTCAAACATACTTTTTGCACATCAAAGTCAAACAATGAATATTTGTTATTTTCAATTGGATCGATACTATCTCCATCGTCCCAATACAACTGTCCCTTAGCACTACCACTTTGATCCAAAACAACAACTAATGTGAACTTTTCTTTTCGCATAGCAGTAGTAGTTTGTCGTGAAGGTAGCACTGGTACAACATTACCACTCTTTAGGAAAACGTTAACTTTATCTACCGGTGTGTCAAACTCTAATGTTTGACCACTACTATTGATGGGTTTTCCATAAGTGGCAGCACTGTAAGGATACCATAGACCTGCCGGCAAATATACATTAAGTTTTGTGACGTTAGGTTGTGTTACTGGTGCCACCATTAAGGCCGATCCCCACATGAACTGTGTTTCGGCAATTGATGGATCGTAAGCGTGTGGATCGCGCGGATGTTCCATAAATACCGGGCGCGCTATGGTATCGGCATTAGTGTGTGCCTTATAAAACAATGTATAGAGATATGGGAGTAATGTATATCGTGTTTCCAATGCGTGTTTAGCTGCCCGTGTGACTACAGTGCCCAATGCTACTGGATCCTGGTCCATTTGTTTTTCATTGTGATTTCTATAATAGAAAATATAAATAATTTTTATAATATAATTTAAAGACTTTTTAAGAAATTCATTAAATTTATACTTTAAAAATACAGAAAATCTAATATAACTTCAAATAATTAATTTAGTTTAATTACAGTAATTACAGTATATTTAAGGTTATAAGTTATAACATACAGTAATACTTATATAAGTTATACGATAACTTTATAACAGTATGGCTATAAAATTTGTAATAATTAAATCATTACCTTGCAAATGGATAGAATGCACCCACTTCAATCCACCTAGCACACATTTCCTGATAGAAAGTATTATTTTTTGCATTACCCAAAAATCCACAAATGTCTCCGCCCACTAATGGTATGCCAAACATATTCATATTCATGATTGCTGTTTTGAAATTTAATTATTTTAGACTAATATAATTAAACATTTAATAAATATAAATATATACATGGTATAGTCCAAGCTAATTCATTATATGTAGTATCAGTATCGCCATCCCAGTGTCCAGAGTAACGTCCCTGACCTGGACTGGTAGCTCGTGATATAACAAACGACCGTTTTTGGCGAACACTTTTCAGAGCTCTATACAAAAAAAATAACATTTAAAAAATTGATTAAAATAAAATAAATAACTTAACAAATATTTTTTAAATTGCTTACATATCAGTGGCAATTGCCATATAAATGCCATACAAATTGTGTACATCATAGTGGACACCGATATGATGTTTGGCAGTCATACATAGTGTCATATCTGTCATACTTTTCAAATTTTTTGGTACATATGGTGGCGATTCTAGTGAACTATTTTTAGGACATGGATACTTTTTCTCAAAATTAGATATTTCATTCATATCATTCCAGGCGCCGTCGATCGGTGCGATTTTGTGAAAATCACGGAACTGTTTGGTCCAATATTCGGGTGATTTAGGGTTTGTAAAGTCAGGCCATACGGTAAACCCGCTTTTGTTCCAAACGTGACCCATAAATGTACCGTTTGTACTGTTTTTGATAAACACGTCATATTTGACTCCGTCATCATATGGAGGATAGGTTCCTATGTATCAAATGTAATAAATATTTTATAATTATATTATCAATTTTTAATTTATTTATTCATCAATTCAACCCGTCTAAAAATAGACAATATATACACACCTGCTAGTTGTTTTGGGTCAATACCCGGATCAATAATAGGCACGTAATGCATACCAATATCATGCAAGTGTTCAATCCATTGACCGAAACCTCCATACCTGTCCTCATCTAAAGTAAAGTCATTGAACTGAACCATATACTCTTTGGCGTTCCACTGGACATCAAACGGTATTCCCGCAGCAATTGTACGGTTAGTTATAACCATTTGTTCGGCTAATGTATTTGGTTGAGTACAGCATCTGCATTGATGATAACCCAGTGACCAGAAAGGAGGCATTGATGGTTTACCAATTAAACTAATGTATTGTCGCACCACATCATCGGGAGATTGACCAACAAATACAAACACATCGAGTATACCTCCAATGGGACGCCATGTGATGGCCGGTTCGGGTTGTAATAGAATATCCATAGCATTGGAGTTCCTTAAGTAGACTCCGTGTGCCAAACCGGTACTCTTGTCTTCAATGTTTACATAGAACGGGTGGGAACCGTAAAGTGGTCTAAATGAATCACCCGGTTGATCATGATTGAATACTGAATACATGTGCCATTGAGTGTCCTTAAGGAACGGTGCCTTTTGTTCACCGATACCATAGATCAGGGGTGAACTTAACTTATTTTTTAGTTGTATAAATTGATTTGTGTAAATAAGCTTGGTCAAATCAGTTTTAAATAGTATGGCACTATTAGCCAGTCGTATTACTTCAAGTAAACCTTGATTATTAAAATACAAGAAAAAATATTAAAACTTTATATAATTAATTAATAAGTGACAGTATTATTAAAGTTTTTGAAATAATATTTATTATTATAGTACCTGTTTTATCAACATTGACTTTATAGAGTGTATTAAAAGAATCGGTAGGTTTTGGTAGATTAAGCTCAGGTAGTGGCGGCTCATATCGTTTGTTCTTCATATCGGTAACTCTCAGTCGCAATGACTGATCATTAAGTAGTGTTATCTCGACGGCAACTACAGGTATTTCCGCGGGAAAACCTGACGGTATTTGTCGTTCAAGTTTAACCATAAATACGCTAACATGACCTTGATCATTTTGTTGTTGGCCAACTTGGGTTACTTTATAGCCCGTATAGTCGGTCGGCATAAAACATTTTGGTATGAATTTAGCTATATGGTAAACAAAAAAAAAATATTATTATTATTATTTTAAAAATTTAAAAAAAATTTTTGGATCATATTACATTTGTTGCTTGTTAAGCTACGTGTAAATTTATCATTGAAACAACATTTGCGCTTGGTACATTCACTTTGTGTAACATTGTCAATTTCTGGTGTACAATCGATACGGTGATCAATGTTAATATTAGCACATTGTTCACCATTACAATTAGTAATTGTCAATATAGCTAATACAGCTATACTGTATAAAACTGTTAAATAACAATTTTTATACATCTCTTCAAACAATAATAGACACAAATATTATTGCTATTATTAACAAAGAAAATATATATATATTTCACCAACTGTACATGGTTAAATTAAAATTAAAAATTGTCTGTACTTACCTTTTATATCCAGTATATGCACCTAATATATTGAAAATCAAATCAATTGGTAAATTAATATTATATGTTAAAATTCACATCCTACTTTTTCTATTTAATCATATCATATATTTTTTTTAAATATTATATATAATATAATTAATAATCATTTATTCAATTAAATAAATTCAATTGTATAGTATTTGATAACTTTTTTTTCATTAATTGTTACTTTACAGTACAGTATAATAGTAAAATACAATAAGATTCCATAAATGTTATAGATTGTGGAAAATATTTATTTTTTTCAATTATTTGAATTTTTTAAATTTACTTTTACTGTTTTTCATTTCAAAATTCTTTCATTATAATGTACCCTAATTTACTAACATATTATACAGTATTAATAATAATTACAGTTTTTTATTTAAAAATTATTATCTCACACTTATACTACTGATATGTTGAGTTTATTTATACTGTACAGTACTTTATAGATAAAATTACTGCTTAAACATGAAATTTTATAGTTTTTATTAAGTTCAGTACAAACATTAAGATATTTGTGTTGCTAAATCATGATATAACTAAATTATACATTAATAAATTTTAGCTATTTGTTAATATAAGTCAAAAAATTTGGTATCAAATTAAAAAAACACATTTTCTCATTTGTAAGACAATACATAAAATGGTAACACTTATTAAGTTTAATATAATTTATATAATTCTAAAATATATAGATTTAATTTTATAGCTTAAAATGTAATATTTAGACTAATGTACAGTATTATGATTAATAAAGTACAGTATTTATAATGTAAAAATAATTTTTGATATCAATAATAAATTACATTATATTTTATTAAATTTATTACAGTGTAGTAGTATAGTAGTACAGTATATTTACTTTGAACTAATAACTAGTAAATAATTATAAGCCCAACCAAAAAGATATTCCGCAAAATGCAATGAATTCATTGAAAATAAATTCAAACAATAAAAACCAATAACCGGTCCGGTTGTCAATCTATTGACAAAATTTTCAACATATAATTTATCTCTAATTGTTAGTCCGGGCCATTGATATATACGATATATATGTTTGACAGGTTTATAGACACTGTTAGTAACTTTGGTGCAAATTGATGTCACAATAAATATACAGGTCATCACCGTAATGGTCAATATGATTAATGTTATTTTTATCATAATACTAGTATTAGGCAACTGTGCCACATATATAGTTGCATTTGTAGCAGTAGTAGCACCAATGTAAATTATAAATATAAAATATTTAATTACAATATTCAAATCGGTAACGATAAGCGAGCATTTATTATGAAGCTTGATACATTTGCGTAACAATTTGATATTGTTGATTTTTGTGGCAATTTCTACATGATCATTTATCTGATAGAACTGATATTTTAGGTAAGTTAGAGACAGATACCATAATTTTAGTACATTGTATATGGAAGCGTAGAATTCAAATATGGCTATAATGGTGATAATTGTCCATGGTACTACACTCCATAAGCTATAGATGCCATCACTGTCGGTAACATAGGCTATCAGTGATGGTATACCCAAAATCATGAACCCATTGATACAACTTTGTATGACCAGCGGATACGACACGTATTTGGTCAGCCAACGCAGCACTTGACAATACTTTTGCCGATATTTACCATTCAATAGGTTTGCCAATCGGTGTTGGCGTATGTAATACAAGTAGTCAATGATAGTAAATTTGTGCCGAAATTCAAAATACAATATTATTAGACCGAGTGTTGTGCCCACTATATGGCCCATAGCAAGCGATCCGTTCAATAGGGCGCCGTTATGTACGACATGGTTGGACACACTGGTCAACATTCTTATTGTTGGTGTATCCCATTGATAGCATACCAGATATCTTAATATAAATAATATTGCCGACAATTTTATTGTAATAATAATTAATAATCTTCGCTGACAATAGTCATTGATTGATGTCATGTAATCTATAAAAGTGGGCGAAAGTGTTGTATAGGTTTGTCCACAAAATTGTTCCAACAATTTAAAACATTGTGTTTCAGTAGTGATTATAGTATTTTTGTTTTTCATATTTTTATTATTAGTTTTAATAGTCATTTATTTTTTGGTGACTATGTTATTATTATTTTAGTTTTTATTATTATTTCATATAACAATATTAATAACTTAATGTATATATTTTATTTGCACCTATTATTTTATTTTTCAGAATTATTTTTTTTTATACTTAAATTATAAAAATCTGTAAATATATTATATTAAAGATTTATTATGAGATCAAACATTTGTCAAACTTATTTAGTTATTGATACTATCAATAACTAAATAAGTTTGACAAATGTTTGATCTCATAATAAATCTTTAATATAATATACAATCTACAGTACAATTATTATAGTATAATAATTGTACTGTAGATTGTATATTATTGCTCATTAATAATTATGTGTTATAAATAAATAGTCAATAAAAATACCGTTCATTTATCATTTTTGTAATATACAATACATTGGTATTATTATAATATAATACATAATTATAATATATCATTTATTATATGTTTTGTCTGACGTTTTTTTTATTATTTAAATAGTAACTTAAACAATACAATAATAATTATTATTTTTTATAATAATTACTATTTATATAATTATAAATGTACAATAATTCACATTAAATAATATCAAAAATTATATTATTATAAAAGTTAGAAACATTAGTAAAGTTAATAATATGTATAAATAAGCAACAATAAAAAATCTTATAAATAATTATCACAAAATGTATAAATATTTCAATTAAACTAATTATTATATAAGATATTTTTTTTAAATCTTCATTAAATCAATAATAATATTATAATTACTGACACGTTTTAATTATTTTGTATATAAAAATAACTAACTATTTTAAGTTTCATCAGAATTATTATATTGACTTTTTGGACTATAATTATTATTATCGTTATATTTACCAAATGATCTGAACAGTGATGTACTAAAACTGTGCCAAAATTGTTGCCATTCATCATCAGTATATGTTAATAAATATAATATAAATTGAGTAACCATTGTTATACATAATAAAATTACCAAAACTTTATATAAATCCTATTCATAAAATATTATTGTAAATTAATAATTTTTGTTATATATATATTTTTTTAAAAATAATTAATTAGTATTAATTTGACTTACATCATTTAAATGTAGTAATGATATTAGTAGTGAAATGTTTTGAATGGGAATTAATACATAAAATAAATAAGATCTCTAAATAAATAAAAGCAAAAAATATTTATTTAAATATTTAAAAATAGAATAATAAAAATTATGAACAATTAATTCACTTACTAATGGCTTTACAATAAACTTAATTTTATCGACAAAATAAAAAATGCCTAACATATAGATAATGATTACAATTATGGCACTGATAATTGATAGAATTGGTGACCAAAAATTATCATCATTATCATACAAAGCGATAAAACCCAGTATACATAAGCTTATGGCACTTAACTATTAATAGTAAATAAAAAAATATATAATAATAAAAGTAATAATTATTTAGTTAATTAAAATAAAAATATTGTTAGTTATACTTACAAGCCATAATGTATTTGATACACTAGTAATGACATTTCTAATTATCATTATAAAATAATAATTAAAATATAATAGTTATTTTAATATAAACTTTTATAAATTTTTAAAACTATTAAATTGTTTCACATGATATGCCTTTCCCATACAATAGCCATATTGTTTTTGTTTGTAATTTTATTTATAGCTATTTGTTAATTCATGTATTTTTTATATTAATATAAGAATAGTGTAATGTATTGTTATAATATCATATACTATACTATACTATACAATATTGAAGGACAAAAATTAAACAAAGAGTTGTAAGACTTGTTTTTTTATTTTGTGGGGATTTATTGACCCGATTTAGTTGAATATAGTATTGTTAATATAAATAAAATAATGCTATTTTACTATAATTAATTAAACACATAAAAATTATAATATTTAAAAACTTATATAAATATTCAATATATTAAGATTATCATTAATAAGATGATAGTATAATATATCATAATTTAAAATAATAATTTTTAAAAATAATTTCTATGTATCATAAATTATATTAAATTTTTTATCAAATTATAGTCTTTATTATTTATCAATACTTATACAAACTGTTATTTTTTAATTTAAATCAATCATATTTTTTCAATAAACAGTATAATTTTTAATTATATTTAATAATATTATTTATTATACACATATCAACAAATTAATAATACTGCTAAATATTTTTTGTTAAAAAAAATTCTACTCATAGTTATGATATATTATTTATATGACATACCTAAAACATAGACACCGGTATAATTGACATTATGCTAAACTATTACATTTAGCTTTAGACTATATTTATTATTATTAAAAATAATTGATTTTATAATATGAAAGTGAGAATCGGAGCTCAGAAACATTGTTTGGCTTAATATTACAAAACAACATCAAAGTGTTTGTCGGCACTGATAAAAGTTATGAAAATTGATTAATAAAGTTATAAAAACTACTTCAAATTATAGTCGATACGATTGGGCTACTATTTCTAACTTTAAATATACCTGTTTATTGATTATAACAAAATTTACTTTTAATATATAAATACATAAAATAAAATATATATTTTCTCTTTTTAAATTATACTTAAAAACTAAAAAATAATAGATTCAAGTTAATTTGACATACTAAAAAAATTTAAAAATTCAATTTTAAAACTAACTGTGCTTAGATTTTGTAATACTATAATTATGATTTTATTAATCTCTCTCTCTCTCTCTCTCTCTCTCTTAATTAATTAATTAATATAATTTTTACCATGATAATCAAACAATATTATTTTAGACATAAGTGATTCTAAATTATTATTACATTAATAAGAATAGATATTAAAGATTTGCACCGTTAGGTTAATATAGATACTATAAAAATGCAGAGACGAAAAGTCTACTACAAAATTATGCAATATATTAAATTATATTGTATTAAACATGGAAATTTTAGTTAAATAAATAAAGTTTAATAATATTTCTGGGAAAAAATATTGTATTTTTAACAAACTAATCAATGTTGTTATACATTTTTATTTTGATTAAATTAATACTTTAATAATTTAGTATTATTTGACTAAACTATAACTTTTTTTTTTATTTAATAAGTGTTTTATTTGTTTATTAGCTAAATATAATACTTCAATTCGTATTATTCGTAATCTAGACTATTAGACTAATCTAGACTTTATTAGATTTTAATCAATAAAATAATACTTAGATTTAATTAATTGAATTTTCAATACTCATTGTCTTATGATTTTTTTTGTTAATTATCATATCTATTAATAAAATTTTAGAAAAGTTGATAATTTCAAACTTATATAAATATATGTAGACTAACCCGTTAATACAGTATAATTGTCATAATAGCTAACTAATAGCTATTACATTACAGTAACTAAAATAAAAGCTGTAATAAATTTAAAGATGAGATCAATTAATATAATATTTTTATGCATATATGCATTGATTGCATGCAATTATGCTAAACGAGGTAATAAATCGCTAAAAAAATTAATTATCCATTAATTTAATTAATTAATTTCTGTCTAATAGAGCCCCGGTTTGCGCCCTACCTGTTCATGGGTCGGTCCCAAGACGTTCATTTGGTTCAATATAAACAGCAAACAGGAATCAGTGGTTTCACACTGGCGTTTGCTTTGGCCGGTGGCGGCGCTTGTAATCCCATGTGGGACGGGACCATACCTATCGATGAACCCAACTTAGTCAATGAGCTCAAGGCGTTCAAAGCAGCCGGCGGTAACTATATTGTGGCCACCGGTGGTGCGGCAGGTGTTTATCTGGAAAACGCTTGTGGTTCGGCTGCTAATTTGCAGGCGGCATACAAAAAAATTTTGGACGTGACCGGTGCTACCGGTTTGGACATCGATGTCGAGGCCACTATACCAGTGGACACTGTTATGGAAGCGTTGGCTGGTTTACAAAGACAGAACCCATCCATCACTGTTAGCTTTACGTTAAGAGTAAGCATATTAATGCAGTATATATACTGTTTGTGACTAAATATACTTATTATTCCCCTATCAGGTCATCGGCGACGACTACGGTGTCACAGATCTAAATGTTATCCAATCGGCGGCCAAACATGGCGTCGATGTTGATGCTGTCAACCCTATGGCCATGGATTTTGGCAAATCGCCAAAGAGTAAGACATGGGGCGATGCCGTCGTCAATACTGGAGATTCGGTAGTCCGACAAATGAAGACTATTTGGCCTCAAAAATCGGATCCTGAGTTGTATAGTATGTTAGGTATAACACCAATGATTGGGCTCAACGATGTAGGCATGATATTTGAACTGGATCACGCCAGACAACTGGTCAAATATGCTATTGACAAAGGAGTAGGACATCTGGCTTTTTGGTCGATCAACAGAGACAAGCCGTGTAGTGCAGGTGGACCAGTGTTTGCCGACCCCGGTTGCTCTAGTATACCGCAACAGGTGCTCGAGTTCACCAAAATTTTCATGGAATACGATCGCCACAATCACACCGACCCGACTCCTGGCCCCACACCGCCTCCAGGTCCGACTCCCGATCCTCACACTAAGACTCCTGTACCTACCAGCCCGCCCGGCCCGACAACACCGTTTACTATGGACTGTACTGAAACTGGTCGACAATATCCCGATATGAATGACTGTTCCGTTTACTACGTGTGCGATCACCAAAAACCAGTTAGAGAAGTGTGTTCACCCGGGGAACTGTATAATACTGATTCCAAAAATTGTGATTATGCCGACAAAGTTAAGACTATAAGACCAGAATGTAGATAATTTACATTTAATTTTTAGGATTATTTAATCAAAAATTTATTTATGTTAAAATAGTATTAAATAAAATAATTCATAATTTGTTAAAATTATTTATAACAATAATAAATGTTTTTATTAAATTATTTTATATAATAAAATAATTTAAATGTCATGTGATTTAATTAAATAGTAAAAATTATAATATATTAGTTAACAATTAGTTAAAATGCCTAATAATATTGTACTAAATATGATATGAGTCTATAATCTGAGACACTCTTTGGGGACCTTTTTCACCAAAAACAGTACTAACAATAGTGAACTGATACCAATGCACAGGGATCCAAACTCAATGTATAGAAAGCTATCGGGATAGTGTTCAATGTAAGTGCCCAAGAAAAACGGTAGAAATAAATAGACCGAATTATACGAGGCTATGAATATGGCACCCACTTTGTCGGTGACTTCCATGAATTGTCCGACAAATGAGAACAAACAGATGAATATCGATGAGTAACCAAAACAGATCATTATTGAACTGATCCACAGGTGTGTCAACGAGTATTGGCCGAAATACTGATATATATAACCGACAAATACGATGATCACCTGATATGAGATCATTGTCTGTGGCCTGAGTTTCATAGCTATAAATACACTCAATCCGCGGCCAGTGGACAGAGCTATCGACATTGTGGCAAATATCTCGGCCGCTTTATTGGCCGACAGTTTCAGTGGTGAAAATTGAAAAAATGTAGGACTAAAGTCCATATACATGTTCTCAGACATTATGCCAAAAGCCAGAAATATGGAAATGCAAATAATGATTGATTTTTTAGGTATGAGTTCTACTAAATTTCGGACACAGTTATCATTGACCAGTGGCTGGTTTTCTTCATCAGCGGTTACGTCATCGATGTCTGGCGACTGGTATTCATAGGGGCGACAGAAATACATGAAAAACATCAATATAGGGCCTGTTTGTGGATATAAATGAAGGACAGTTAGATAAGTTAAAAAAACAGGGAAGTTATGATAGATCATTGCCAAAAAATATAGTTATAAATTGGGACCTTGATAATAATCTAATATGATAAAATAATTCAAATATTTGTCACACATATACACACACACGTTAGGGTAGTCCGATTGACTACATAGTGTCATATGATAACTAAATTATGATTAAACAATTTTATTGTTAAGTTTATTAAATAATCACATAATATCATATCAATCGTTTGTGCAATCAATTGATACTGTTTATAGATAATTGCTGTTTATTTGCTAATAATTAAATCATGTGATTATTATTATTATTGTCAATTAGTTTAGTCAATTATGCATTAAATAAATTTAATTATGCAAATCTACATAACGTAAATTATGATTATTATACTTATTATAATACTGTATATTATATTAAAATTTTAAAAAATATGTTAAAATAATTTGTTAAAAGTATAACTAATTGAGTCAGTCGTTTATCACTTAAGTATCACATGTGTTTATAAAGATCAACACATTATTAAGATTAATATATTTATATTTGAAAACTAAGCATGGAAATTTACTGTCATTTTTAAAAAACATATTTAAAAACTATTTTGTAATAAGTTATTTACTGAATAAATTAAATGTTTATTAATTAATTAAAAGAAAATATTATTAAAAAAAATAATAGACAACTACTAACCAATACATTGCAATAGTCCTCCCATAAGATACGGGAACTTAAGTTTTTGCCGCCGTTCCCATTCATTATCGATAATTGTCGTACTGTTCCAAACGCGGATAACAGTGCCGTTATGTCCCATAATTTTGTAGTCGTAGTCAACTTCACCGGTTAAATAGGGACCAACAATAAGCGGTCCTAATATAGTGCCCACACCGTAGATAAATTGGGAAAACTGTAGAAACGATGGACTAGACTGTTGCCACATTTCGATGAGTATAACATTGTTTGAGTTATTCCAGGCACCGATACCCAAACCGTAGATAAATATGCATAAATAAAGTTGCCAGATCTCACTTGAGTACGGTATGGCTATTGTGGCCAAACCTTGTAGTGTCACCAGCAGTGACAATGTTAGCTGTCGATTGATATACTTGTATAGAAAGCCAACTATTTATTATTGATATATTAAATTAAATTAATAATCAATTATATTATTAAGTTATTTGAAATCATATATCAAGTTATAAAATATAACTTACAAACTGATCCAACAATACAGGCAATGGCAGCGACACTGGGAAATAGGCCGACCCAAGACATGGTATTGTTGGTTATGTATTTAAAGTCCACATAAGTTGGACCAAAAGTTGAAAATGTTAAACCCTTTACATAAATTTATATTAAAACATTAATAAACATTTTATTTATACAATAAATATTTAGTAAAATGTAAAATAATAATAATAATACTTACAAACATCAAATGGTTTAACAAATTAATTGTTGTATAAATATATCGATCGACACGATTAAACTCATCCATGTCTTTGTGTGGCATTTGAATAATAATTACAATAATAAAACTAATATAAAAGTTTTTTACATCAAATAAATAAATAAAGTTAATTAAATTTTGTTATTTAATAACTTAAAAAAATGAGTAATAAAATTTACATTAATTTAGTGTCTTTATTATTAACAAGACATTAGAAAATTAGATCAATATTTTTTTTAGATCACTAATACATGTATAAAATAATAACTAATTTTTTAACTAATGAGTTACAGTGTGTTTTTAAATAAATGATTTAACTTTTAAAAATGATATATTGAAAAACTAAATTACAGTGAGTTTTATTTAATAATCACAGAAAAAGCAAATATATTACAAGTTTTTATAGACTATACTTTGTCTATCAAAAAAACATAAACTGATTATCAGTTGTTTAATGGCTTATCATTATATTTCTAAAAGTGATTCAAAGACCAAATAATCAATTTTAATGTTATGTTATTTTTATAAAAAGATATAAACTTTTCCATTGAACCGTAAACTTACCTAACTTTTTCCTATTTTGTACATGTACATTTAGTACTGGATCATTAATATATTAAAATATATATACTGTACCAGTATATAATAATTAATTATTGATTATTAATAAATATTATTGAAATTTGATTTACTTTATAAAATACACAAAGCTATGTAATAAAAATAAAACAAATTAAATCAATAAACAATATTAACTATTATTTAGTTTAGAAATTAATATAAAAATAATATGGTGTGATGAGATATTTAATAAATTAATGGTTATTACTTCAAAATAAATGCTATTAAATAATAAAATAAAGTTTACAGGAAATATAACAAATAAAACAAATAGGAACTACTTATATAAACTATTAAAATATTTTGTTTTTAATAAGTAAAAGTGTAAATATATTTATTAATGAATTAAAAGATAAGATAAAATGTATTGATATTTATTTTTATAATAATTATTTGGAAAAATTTGAAATGAAATTTTTATTATACAGCACTGTATTAATGTATAACAAATTTTCAATAATACTTTATTAAATAGTCAAATTCAAGTCAAATTCTACATAAAATATATATATCTATATATCTAATATATAATTGTTGTTATCATTGTTGTTGGGATTGTTGTTTGTATTGAAGGTTTAATATGCTTTGAGGGTACAAATGGATCAGTAGATGTTGTCGATATTTTAGGTGTTGTTTCTAAACTTATTGGATGTGTCGTTGTTTTTGTTGTCGAGGATGTGGTGGTCGGAGTTATTGTTATCGTCAATGTTGTCAATGATGTTGTTGTCAGAGTTAATATTGTTGTTGATATTATTTCTGGTGTTGTTGACAATATTGGTGTCGGTGTAGGTGTGGGTGTATTATAATGAGTTGATAAAGTTTGAGGTGGTCCTATTTTTTTAATAAAATAATAAATTAATATTATTAAATTAACAATATAGAAACTATAGTAAATATAGCTATTTTTAAACTTTAATAGATAATTAATTTTTAATTTAATGAAAAAATACTATGTAATGTTAAATTTAATATATTTTATTTTTAAGTAATATTACTGTAATATAATAACAATTTAATATTGAATAAACAGCTGCAAGTGTGTTGGTTGAAGTTTAACTTTAGTTAATACTATTAAAATTTTAAATGTTTACTAAGTAACTACTGTATTAACATTATAATAATAACAATGACATTGATAACCTAGGCTTAATTATTTGACAATCCATTACCATTGAACCAACTGGGTACATGACTGAGCAACTGTTTGCCATCGATGGCCATTGCATTGATCAACTTTTTGTTTAGATCCAGTGTTATCTTATTTAGAGCCAACCAACGATTATTGCTTGAATTGGACAGTCGACAATTGGTCAGTTCGATTACACCAAACTCACCACTTAAGCCACTGTAACTGAGCATTGGTCTAAATGTGTCCTCCAGTAGATAATCCAATTGAAAATTGGTGGCCAAATTGAGCTGGGTACTGCGCTGAGTGAAAAATGTTAACGGCTTAAATGATTTACCATTAAGTCGATTGTTTTCCAGATTAATAGTAACATTAGTAGGACTGGGATTAGTAAAAGCAAATGCTTTATCATCAATGAATTCAATATTTTGTTGCGACAAATCAATTGTTACCAATGCTAAGTATTAATTAATATAAATTAATTATTATTTTTTTAAAACCTATAAATTTACAAACCGTTTAGTCCAGCAAATGCCATTTTGCCGATCTGGGTAATGGATGCACCCTTATTGCCGCTTAAGTCAATTTTGGTCAGTTGTCTTTGTTGGCCAATAGTGCTGGTAAAAGCATTGTCGGGAATGGTATCTATTTTACTGCCAACTATGCGAAGTGTTTTCAAGTTTTCCAGAGTCCTTAATGCGCTAAACAGGTCGCACCCGTCTTTAGTATTACTTTTTTTTTGTGAAAAACATATTATATTTAATATAATATACACCATATAAAACATTTACATTTTAATTATTAAGCAATTTATAGTATACTCACTGAAACCCAGTAAACTGGGCATCAAATACAGTAACACTTTGTTCCTGTCCCCGGAAAGCGCTGGGATGTACACAATTCAGATTAGGACACTGTGTAAACTTGAGGGCACGAAATACTACACCATAGAACAGGGAATCGGCTAATTCGGTAACACTAGTACTCTCCAATTCAAACAGATCGTACACATTACTGCCCGGTTCGGGTCCGGCCAATGCCTGAAACACTTGTTTGAGATCCAGTTCGTCATTATAGACACATCGTATAGCAGAACCATCACAAATGCACGGAGAGATCTCCTGTGGATCGGGACAGTTTGCGGCACTGGTAGAGTACAGGTGACCAATAATAAGTAGACATACAACTGTAACAAACATTAATAAAATTTTCAATTTGTTTTTTGTATCTAATATTTTACATATTATTTTTCTAATAATTATTAATACCTGTGTTTAAATCCATATCCTTGAATACGATGATAACTCACACATAAGTTTAAAAAAAGTGTTTAATAAAAATGACTAAAAAATAAAATGCAAAAACTTTTTAATTGTATTGAAAATACAGTTATAATGCTAATTGCAAATATTGATGAATAATACATTGATAATAAATATAAACTATAAAATAATTTTGTTTATTAAATTAGCCTTGTATTAACATATCAAACTACATTAAAAATATGTATATTTTCATTTTGCTATCTAAATATTTTCTAAAAATTAATATTACTATTATCTTATTAAATTATATTTTGGCTTTAAAAATAATAAAATTAAGTATTTTAAAATATCCAAACAATTATATAATATAATCCAAATAATTTTAGAAATTACTAAAATAATTATAAAATGATGTTTAGTATGTAATAATTAATTAATATATTTTTAAGCATAATCATCGTGTGTATAAATTAAACTAACTAAAATACTTGGAATTAATGAAATTAATAAAATTATCTTTGTTTAATTTAATAATAAGAAATTGAATAAATTAGCCTAGCAACATATATAACTTGTTTTATTAAAAATTAAATATTTATTTAAAAATATTTTTTTTAATTAGCATTAAAGTAATTAATGTTTTTAATGCATTATGAAAACTAAAAATTATTAAAAATAAAATTGTTTAATTTGTTTAATAAAAATATGCTTAAAATTAAAGTCAATAACCCGTTAAATGTGGCAATAAAAGTGTTAGTTAGGCAATCAAGTATTTTTATATCACAGATTAAATAATTTTAAAAATTATTTTTGTTTAACTAATTATTAATTAATTATAAGCATAATAATATTAACTAATAATGCGTTAAATAATGTCAAATAAAAAGTATATTGGTAAAATAGACAATTTTAATTACAAAATATAATACTATAGTTATTTGCATGTCATCATTTTTGTAAAAATACATAAAATTAATAAATTAAGCTAGATACAGTAGGTTCAGCACCTAGAGTTTCAGTCGCACTATTAGAAGTTAAAGTTTCTGAACTCATATAATCATAATCTGCCGTTTCATTAGCCGATCCCTCTCTCAATTGATCTTTACTGTCATTCTCCGATATATCTCCATCCCATTGTCCATCAGCTCCACTGCTATCTCCCTGATCACCTTCATCGCCATCCCAGTCTCCCAGTGCGTCCTCCGGGTCAGTCCAGGGTCCCTCTTCACCCTCGCCTACACTTTCTCCATCTTTATCATCCCTTTCATCAATCCATTCAATTTCTCCTTCAACTGCATCGATAATATTGTCACCATTTTCTACTTCACCCTCTATTACCTCTTCGACTATTGTTTCTTCTCCGTCTCCATTATCAGTCACTTCAATAATTATTACATAATCGGTTTCACTTTCAGCTTCATCTTCGGTAACATCATTTTCTTCGGACAGATCATCCAATATATCAATGTCGTCATCATATAAGCCGTCATCATCTCCATAGCCATCTTCCGATACCTCTTTTACTATGCTATCAGTATTAACTGATTCTTTACTATCAGTGACCGTCTCTTTGACTTCAGTATCTGCAGCAGTACTCTGGGTGTCCTCTTTGGCCGTTACATCGCTTCTGAGCTCTAATCCATCGTCCAGTGACTCGTTTTCTGAGTCCAAAAACTCAGTCACATCTCGCAGTTTATGTCCATCGGTTGAGTCAATACCTCTTCTTCCTGGCGATAAATCTTCGCTTTCATCGTTGTTATCGCCAAAGCCGTCATCAATAAAATCTGGTTCTTCGTCTTTGAATGACGAGTGATGGCCACCGAAACCTCGATGAATGGATGTGTCAAACTTGTTGATCACTTTAATGGGTTTTGAAGGCTTTGAGTCACTGTAAACACTGTTTACAGCTATTTAAAAAAAATATATGGAAATGGAGAAAAAAAATATAAATTAAAATATTAGACAATTTTCAATAATAGTTAGTTATGCAAATAATAGTAATAATTGATAAATAGTATAATTTGTTACCCAATAAAGTATATAAACTCAATAATGCTAATATGCGAAACATTGTTTTAATGTCTAATTGGTATCCGACTACTATCAACTACTGGTAGTTAGCCTAGAAGTAACAGATAGACAAAAATTTTTAAAAAGTTTAATTAAATATGTTCAAATGAGACAGTCTACATTTTTTAACAGTAATTTTTTTTAATACCCAGACATATGTTTATATGAGTGTTCTAAATTTTTAATTTTATATTATTATTATTATTAAGGATATAATGTCTTTTTTAAAATTTAGATCATTATTTTTTAAAAATTTACTTATTATTAATATTTAAATAAATATAATGAATTAAATGAACTAGATAAATTAAATTACTTTTTAATGTATACAATTTTTAGCAATGAGCATTTAGTTTTTAGCATGAACATAACAATAATTTTCTAACAATAAGTATATTTTTTGATTAAAAAACAAATTCTACTAAAATATATGTAGAAGTAACAAAATATAAATTATATTTTTATTCAAAATAAATAATAAATAAATTTTATTTGTAAAAAATCAATCCAGAAATCATAATAATCATAGAAAGTAAAAAATCAATATATTCTAACATTATGTTTGATATACTGATATTGTATAGAATATGCTATATAATACAGTATATCAAACATATAGTATTATATAGACAATGTGTGCTAACATTATATTACTGTAAATTGAATAACATTGATAAAAGTGATTACATAATAATATAAATGTTATATACATAATCATATAATAATTGCAAGCATTCGCGTTAGTGGTATAACGGTTAGCATAGCTGCTTCCCAAGCAGTTGATCCGGGTTCGACTCCCGGCTGACGCAAACCATATATTTTATTAAATTCTATTTTAATAAAAACTATCATTAATTTATTATTTATGATCAACTTAACAGTAATTAACATATTTTACATTATATATAATAATAATTTAAAAAAAAAAATAATTTTACTAAATAATGCATTGCAAATATTGCATTCTAAATATATTTAATAATAAGTATAATAATAATCAAAAAGTATAACTATATACTAAACTTTAGAAACTATATGATCTTTTTATTTGTTTATTATTTGTTTATTATTTGTTTATTTGTTAGCTAATTAATATATTGTTTATTTAATATACTCGTATATATTAAAAACAAAAATTAGAAAATTTAAATTAAAATTTTTAATAAATAGCAAATATTATAGTTTTACATTATAAGTTAAAAAATATTATGTTAAAAATTCATAACTTAAATAAAAATGCAATTTAATAAAATTAAATCTATTTATTCAAAAAAGGACTTTTATTTTAAAAATACTAATTTTATATAGCATTAATAATAATTTCGTGTACTGTTAAATAAATCATAATTGTGTGTTTCATCAAACAAAGTTAGTCCATTAATACAAATTTGACTTTATTTGGAAAATCTATTTTAATTTTATCATAAATTTATTTTGAAACTTAACATCCAATATTGTTCCTAATAAATCTATAATATTAGACATGGGTGAATTAAAAAAATGAATAAAATACCGCTTTATTTAATATAATTAAATAAATTAATCTATATAATATTTGATCAATTTATAATAAATATTTTGAATTCCAAATTATTAAGTCGGATATTATTTTTTGAAAAATCTACTCAAATAATGTTTATTATATGTTTTGTTTCTCTTTTATACTTTAAATCATTTATTTTAAAGGTAAATAGTTTTTTAGTTTTATAAGGAAAATATATTTTAAAATAAATGTTATAAAAATAATTAAAATCATTTAAAGTATAAAAGTGAAACAAAACATTTAATAAACATTATTTGAGTAGATTTTTCAAAAATAATATCCGACTTAATAATTTGGAATTATTTTTATAACATTTATTTTAAAATATATTTTCCTTATAAAACTAAAAAACTATTTACCTTTAAAATATAAGTAAAATTATTAGTATTTGTATCTAATTTTTCATAAAATATTACAAATAACCGATTATATACTTGAAAATAAATTATAACAGTAGCTAGATAAAAGTTTATAATAATTAAATATTGTTTATTACTAATAATTTAACAAAACACTATATTTCATTTATTTTTAGATAATAAATGTTAAATAATATGTATTTATGTTAAACAACTAATAAATTATATACATAAAAATATACTGATAATTATTTTATTATATACCGTGAAAATTGTATATAAACAGAAACAAATTGCATGTTTAAATATATTAATAAATTTCTTTTAGAAAAAAAATTCAATATTTTTTTGTATTTTTTTATAAATAAAATTTTAATAAAATATGTTTCAATTAACAATTATATTATTTGCAGCATTTTTATCAATTTACAGCGTTGTTGCCGATCAACCAAAATCTTGTAAATTTTAGATTAAATTAATTAATTTCAAAAAAAAAAAATATTAAACTATATTTTTTGGACTAATAATTTCATATATTTAATTAAATAGGGAATTGCGATCAATCAACCACTTGCTGTTGTGGGGGTCAGTTAGGTTTGGTGTGCGGCTCACGTATTGGTTTAAACCAAAATGAACATGGTGGCATTCCTTTACTAAGAGGTCAATGCAAAGATCGTGCATTTTACCAGTGCTCGGCCATCGATCAACCGGCTGTTTTCAAAGGCATGTGTCCTAAATGTCGTTTATCGAAACCGGGAGTCGATAAATGTTTTGCAGAGTGAAAAACAACTAAACTTTATTTTAACAAATAAACATTAAATTAACAGAAAAATGTTATAAATATATAACAATTTAATAATTTTTCCAATATTTTACTAAAAAATATGTTCATTTAATGATTATAATTAATAATAACAAAAACAATGTAACTGTACTTATATTGTATAGAAATAATTTTATCCAAATAAAGCTATTATTTAAATATTATATAATCTGTTTTTTATAAATATATAATAAATAAAATTAATATAAATATTCGATAATTTAGTATTAAGAAAAACATTTTAGTCTAAATTACATTAATAAAATATAATTAAAATAATATAGTTATTTTATTTATTACAAATATTTTTCAAATATTTTTTATTAATAGATTTTATTAAAACTTGATTTTTTATTTAGTTTTAGTTAATGTTAAATTTAGACAATTTTGCATTAAATTTATAAAATTGTTTCCTTTCTGTTAATTCCAAGTTTGTTTGTTTACATAAAATTTTATTAAACTTTCACTGAAAGTTGGTGTCAAACATTTATCGACTCCCGGTTCCGATATACGACAGTTAGGACACAGACCTTTGAAAACGGCCGGTTCATCGATGGACGAGCACTGGTAGAAAGCACGCGATTTGCACTGACCTCTCAATATGGGAATACCATCAGGTTCATTTTGGTCTAAACAAAGTCGTTTGGCGCAAATCAAACCTAACTGACCGCCACAACAACATTTGGTTTTGTCATCACAATCCCCTATTTAGTCAAAATATAATTTTTTTTATTTATAATATAATTAGATATTTTTTAATTTAATTAAAATTTTAATTTACAAGTTTCTGGTGGATCGGCAAAAACGCTGTAAAAAACCAGAAATTGGACCAATAATACAATTGTCAATCGAAACATATTGTTAGCAAAATTTTATTTAGAAAAACAATTAATTATGTTTAAGAATAATGAAAAAAAATTGTTTATATTATAATACTTGCAATATGTTTCTGTTTAAATAGATTTTTTTGCAGTACATAATAAAATATTTTATTAATTTATTAACATAAATAAATATTATTTAACATTTAATATCTTAAAATTAAATGAAAAACAGTTTTTTGATTAATAAAGTTTAGACAATTTAAAATAATAAATTAGTAGTAATAAAAATTATATTTTTAATGAAAATCATAAAATTAATTGATATTTTATAGAATATATAAATTAATTATTAGATTGATTTTTTTAAAAGATATTATATAAGTTATGGATTCAAAATAAAAATTAAAAAAGTGTACATTTAATAGACAAAGATTATTTAAGAAGTACTAATATTTTATTTTAATATTATTTAATAAATATAATTTATAATTTATTATTAATTTTTTAATTACTATTTTAATTGAACAATAAGTAATATAATTTTTATAATTGATAATTTTTTATAGTTTTTAATACCTGTACAAAAAATATTACTTTTTATTATATAAATAATATAAAAATAATTAATTAGATTAATATTAAATTGCGTTAACATTTTTTTTATCAAAAAACTAATTTAATTTAATTTTTACATAATAAATGTTTACTCGGATTTTGCCGATCCATCAGAAACTTGTAAATTAAAATTAAAATTGAATTAATTTGAAAAATACAAATCATTGCAAATGTCGTCGTTTCTGTCTATGATATGCCAATGCATCGATCAACCGGTTGTCTGACAATATACCCTCACTTTCTATTTATGTCATCTGATAAATGTTATATTAATTAAAATAATGTTTAATTTTTGTATTTTTCTAGCATTTCCTAATTTTTTATAGCTAAATAAAACGCTTATTTAAATAATATTGAATTTTGATAATTATGACAATATTGTCTGAAAAATTAAATATTCTTTCTTTATTAATAAAATTGTATTATTATTAAATATTATTTGAGATTAGATAGAGTAGATAGAAAAACAAATAAATATTGAAAAGTAGTAAATTTATTTCACTTATTTTATTAAAATACTTATACAATATAAAATTTTATTTAAACTTATTTTTTATTTTTAAATTAACTTTTACTTAATCTTAAATTTTATAAAAATTACTCATGATTTTTCAATTTTGATTTTAATGTAAAACAAAAAAAAAAAGTTTAGTTAGGATTTAATTATTAAATTACTGTTAAATATATTAATTTCATATAAATTAAATTACTTATCATATGGTTTTCTAATTATTATATTTCTATAAAATCATATTAAAATAATATTTAAATAAACGCTTTATTTGGTTAATAAAAATATAAAGTTATACAGATTAGTATTATGAATTATTGTGAATTTAATATAATCATATAATTTGGCATTATATATATATAATTGTTATATTTATAAAATTGTTATATTTATGTTAATTCCGTGTTTGTTTATTTGTATATTAAATTTTGTTGTTCATCAAATTAAATTTAATGTAAACTTTCACTGAAAGTTGGTGTCAAACATTTATCGACTCCCGGTTCCGATATACGACAGTTACTGCACATGCCTTTGAATACAGCCGGTTGATCGATGGCCGAGCACTGGTAAAAAGCACGCTCTTTGCATAGACCTCTCAGTATGGGAATGCCATCAGGTTCATTTTCACCTAACTTAATACGTGAGCCGCAGGCCAAACCTAACTGACCGCCACAACAACAATTGGTTTTGTCATCACAATCCCCTATTTAATGATATAAAAAATTATTTTAGAAAAATATAATTATATAATTTAAAGAAATTTTTAAAAAATTAATTTACAATCGTCTGGTGGATCGGCAACGACAGCGTTAATAACCAAAAGTGCGGCCAATAATACAATAGTCAAACGAAACATTTTGTTTAATACAAGATTTTATTTATATAAAACAAATAATTTTATTTTATTATAAAATTGAAATTTTGTTTATATTATTTAAAAAAACAATTTGTTTCTGTTTATATACAATTTCTAGTATTGAATAATCAATTAATTATCAGAATAATTTTATATGTATAATTTATTAATTTATTAACATAAATAAATATTACTTAACATTTTTATCTTAAAATTAAATGTAATATACTTTTTTGATAAATAAAGTTTTGCACAATATATTATTAATCTAATTTTTATTTATAGTGTTTATGTAATAAAATATTAACTTTTTAGTGTTATACAATTGTAAAAAATACATATCATAAATGTTTCTACTGTAAACTTAACGTAATTTTTTATAGTCTTAATTTATATTTTATAGATTATATGAATAGATTATTAGATAAATTTTGTAAATTTATTATATAACTAGTTAATTATTATATAACTGTATATAGCTATTTAATATTATCAAACAGTTATAAATAATTATATATTTTTATTATCATTAATTACTATAATAAAATTTCGCAAATATTAAATTACAATAATATAATTATTATAAACTTTTACAATAAATTATAATTGTAATTATTTATGTTGCTAATGTAATAAACTTATTTTCATGTACATTATATAAATTGTTTATGAATATATAAATACAAAAATATCATTAATAATTTTTATTATAATTTTTATTCTTTTAATGATAATAACTTTAATGACAAAATATATTTAAAAAATAGAAAATTAAAAATATTTCTATTATTTTAGTCAAATGAATAGTAATGAAATAAATGTTTTTAAAATTATAAATTTTCAATTGAAATTATACTTTTTATTAATTAATTAAATAAATGTTGATTATAATTTATGTTTTTTTAGTATAAACGTAAAATAAAGCGCTTTATTAAAATATTTAATTGATAATACAATTTAAAATAAATTTGTGAACGTAGGGGACAGGCATTTATCTTGACCGGGATTTTCATTGTTATTTTGACAATTAGGACAAAGACCTTTAAATGTGGCCTTAATGTCAATTTCTGAGCACTGGTAGAATGCTTTACGAATACAGTTTCCAACCAACAATTTTTCGCCATCAATGTCCTCACTGTCCACTCGTGTTCCGCAATGAAGTCCTAACCAACCGCCACAACAACAGTTGTTTGCATTTTCTGAACATTCTATTCAACAAAAACAAAAAAATAATACTTTTTTCTCATTTATTATTATTATAAAAAATCAATTTATTTCATACTGGGACATGGACAGGTATCTATAAAGAAAAATTAGCAAAAAAATTAAATAATTTACTTAAATTAGTTATAATTAAATCTGTTTTATATTACTTTCTGTATATCGATTATCTTCTAAGCATTGAATGCTTATTAAGAATACTAATAATAATAATACAAAAAATAATAATTTCTGCATATTCTGTCAAATTTATTATATTTAAAAAAATGAATTTAATAAAATTAATCAGTTTTATATACTCTATTTAATATTAAAATTATGATTGATTTATTATTTAATGATAATCATTCATGATTATTATTAATCTATGATATAATAAAAAATAATATACCTGTATAAATACAATACAATAAATATTAATAATATATTATAAATTTATATTAATAATTATGTTTTCTGTATATTAATTTATATTAAAATTTACAACATATTAAAACTAAAACTAAAACTAATAAATAATTCAAAACTTTAAATGTAAAACATAAAAATAAGTTATTTATAATTTATTAAATAATTTAGAAATAATTAAATTAAATTAGACAATGATATTTGTTTTAGCAATGTTAAGATCTTTTTCAATTGGTTTATTTGAAAATAATAAAATTAGTTAACAAAATAATTTAAAAAATTAATTATTAAAATGATTAAAAGCATTTTTGATTATAAAAATAGTTTTTGTTCAAAGTGTAAGATTATAACACAATTTATACATTAAAAATAGATAATTGAATAATAAATATTTTTATGGTCTTAGAAATATAATTAATTTTTTATTATAATGTAATAAATTATTACTATTAACTTTAATTTCATAAATTTAATCAATTTTTTGAAATTTAAAAAATACTATTATTTATAAGTTAATATTTAAAATAACCAACAATAAAATATTACAATTATTAAAATTAAATAAAACATGTATTCTATAAAATATTATTGTATATTTTTGTTAATTTTTGTTAAATCTATTTGTATTAATGCACAATTTAATCTATCAACTTATAAACATGGTAAAATTAATATATTTCGTTATGTAAATTATACATTAGATTTATTGAAAATATTAAATTATTTTATTTTATTAGTGAAAATACTAATTTTAGCAGAAAAAATTAATTTATTGTTTAATAGATTCAATAGATTCAAAATGCATTTGTAATGATTGGTTAAAAGATCATTGCGGCAGTCGAGTGGGTCAAGTGGCTGAAAACCTACCCATACTAAGTGGTGAATGCGATACAAATACATTATACTATTGTCCTATTATAAATGGCCCTGCTTATGTACAGGAGCTATGCTATCAGTGCCACGAAGCTGAGGAAGGTTTCGAAGGTTTAGATGAATGTCATATTTGTAAGTTTTTTAAATTGTTTTTTTTATTAGGACTCTATAAATATTTTAGAAATTAAAATATTCAAATGTTTATGAATTTTTAAAAATTATTATAGCAAATTGCATGTGCAAAAATATGACTGGTCAATTTTGTTCGGATAATTTTTATGGGAATCTATATGGAAAGTGTGAAAATAAAGCATTGTATAGCTGTACCAAACCTAATACAGAAGCTAAACTAATTGATAAATGTTGGAATTGTCACGAATATAATCCAGGGATGGGTTACTGCGGTATTGTATAGTTTTTATATTTTTATTACAATTGATTTTATTAATTGTTTATTTATCAAATTTTCTTTGTGTTCATCTATTCATCTATATTTGCACGTATAGGCCGCTCATCATAATTAAATATCCCATTGTTTTTTTTTGCAAAATAAATAAATTACAGTACATAAACAGAGTAGTATATAATATATTTTGAAGCCTTTATATGTAAATTAACTAGTTTTAACACGGGTTGGTTGACAATAAATTGACCGGGATCATAGCATTATAATACAGTTTAGTTTAATTTTTCACATAACACATTAAATACAGTACAGCGCACCCAAAAACCCACAACCTTAGCCTCTCAGCAACAGAGAGAGAGAGAGAGAGAGAGAGAGAGAGAGAGAGAGAGAGAGAGAGAGAGAGAGAGAGAGAGAGAGAGAGAGAGAGAGAGAGAGAGAGAGATTAAATATAAGATCTGAAATATTACATTATTTATAAAACAATAAAAAATTATTTAATAACTAAAAATTTATATTTATTAATATAATTTATATTAGGACCGGGATGTAAATGTGGACAATGGTTAGGAAATATATGTGGTTCAAGAGTTAATCAAACCGACACAGAAGATAATGAAGTATTTCTGTTAGGAGAATGTGAACCAAACACTGTCTACCAGTGCTCAGTGATTGATGCAAATCCATTGTTTAACACTTCATGTCATATTTGTAACGAAACGGAATCGGGAAATGATGAGTGCTATTCACGTTTGTATTAATATATTATATAAATATTTTAATATATAATCGGTACCAAAAAAAGGTTTGATTATTATAGCAATAACTTTAAAAACTAAATCAATATAAATTATATGATAAGCATATAATTTTATTACATTTCTATTATGTAAATTAGAATTATGTTATTATTATTTATAAAATCTGAAATTTAAAAAAATAGAAACACAAAAAGTTAAACAAAATCTAAACTCATTGCAAACTCATTTACAACATTTTTTTAAAAATTGGGTTTAAAAAGTTATAATTTTAGAAATAAATACTAACTTTCAATAAAATTAAAAGTATTGTGGCATTTTTTTTAAAAATATTAATTAATTTTATTAGTTATAAGCTACTAAAGCTTATAAGTTACTTTAATTTTAATATTTAGATATTTGGTTCAAATTTGAATACCACTAGAAATATTTTTATAATACTAATCAATTTGTTAGGCATGAATTATAGATTTTTATTAAATATATACTAAACAAAAATAAAATACTATAAAATATTTTTATAAAATATGATTTGGATGACTAGGTTTTAAAATTTTTATATATTAAGCTCAAGATTTTAAACTAATGATATAATAAAATTAAACTATATATTATAATAAAAACAACAAGTAAATACCTTTTTGGCAATACTTATATAAATTATATATATATATATAACTATATATCAGGTTTAAGCAAGGGGGTAAGGTGGGGTCAAGCCAATTGACGCCCCCTAAGATCGAGATTTTGGGATTTGACCCCCCAGACTTTTTGACCAAATGAAAAAAATGTCGCTTAAAAAAAGACCCCCTTAAATTTCTGAGCCAAATGCGCCTTTTTTTGTTGAAGTTTATAAAAATTATATTTTTTTTGATACTATGTTATTAAGTGTTATTATGCTTTTAAAATTAATGCTTATGCTTCAAAATAAGTAAAATAGTTCACCCTAAAATTTAAAAACCTTGTTTAACCCTAATATACAGTATATAAATGCAGTTTATATTTTTGTAATAAATAAATATATAATTATTAAAATTAAATATTTTCAATAGAATCACTTGATTGTATGTGTCAAGATAATGTAATTGGATTTTATTGTTCAAAAAATAATTATAAAAAATTATATGGAAATTGTGATAGAAATGCATTATATTTTTGCGAAAAACCAAAATCTCGTGCCATCAAAATTAGTCATTGTTCTAATTGTGTTGATAATGAACCTGGTCATGCTACTTGTGGTATGTTAATTAGTGTTTATTTTTAAAAAATAATACAATTTTTTTAATCATTTTATTATTAAAATTCAAAATAATATTTAAATCAGGGTTAGTATTAACTATTGATTAAAAACTAATAACATTAAGGCATTTACCAACGAATTATACATAAATTATAAGTTTAATGAATTATAAAAATAATAATAATAATAATAATTAATTATAGTTTATTATATCATATATATTAAATAATAATTTTTAATATTTTAAACTTATTTAATATGTGAAAATTTAGGCACTTATTAATTAATTGTTAGTCATTCAATAGTATGATATTTGTTAGTTTTACAATTAGTAAATGAAATCTATATTTTGATTAAATAAAAATTAATAAAAAGTTAAAATTATACAATATGTCATATAATTAATTATAGTTTATTTTGTTAATATTTTTTTGACTAAATTTATCTAGGTCATCAAGCATTAATATGTAAAGAATATGCTGATGAAAATTTTGTTTGGCCAAGTGTACAAACTGGACAATATTCAGAAATAAAATGTCCAAATGGACCTGGTTATATTAGATTAAAATGTATGGATGATGGTACATTTGACTCTATTGGACCATTATATGAAAATTGTTGGATTGATCATTTGATTAACTATAAATTAACTGATATAGATCATATAGACTTTGTACTAGATAAAATAGAAAACTATACTAGTACAAGTACAGGGTTACAATCTATTGATGGTATTGAAAAGATTATTCATTTAATTGAAAAAATTAATAAATTTATGAAAACAAATCAATTGGTTAAAAATGATTTATCAAAACAACAACAATTTGCTGAAAAATTTGTTATAATGTTTAGTCAATTGTTAGACCAGACGGGAGCCTGGATTCACAGTGACAATGAAAGTCAAATTGTTACGATTGCTTCAAAACTATTAGCTTATATAGAAACGTCAGCATTCACTACCAGTGCTTATTTGAACAGTCAAAACAAATCGCAAACAATAATATCCAATAATATTGTACAACAAATTTATTTTGAATTAAATGATAATTTAAAATTTGTATGTAATTCATCAAACATAAAGTTAACATTTGATAATCATGATTTAAAAAATAGTGATAATAATATTAAGAATAAATATACTATTGTTGGCTATTATATTACTGGACTAACTAAATATCTATTCAGTAATAAATCAAATATTGAAGTCAATAGTGATATTATTGGGCTTTCCATAGAAAATAATGATAAACAAAATTTAAATTTAGAGTATACATCAAAAATAAGGTAAGATTTGTGATTTTATTAATGATAATTTAATAATAATAATTATTATTTTTATGCTTATTCTTTTAAAAAAGTTTAACACATATAAAAAAGTTAAATTTGGGTGATAAAGTTGATTGTGCTAATTGGGACTTTAATAGTAATGACTGGTCTTTTAAAAATTGTCATCTAATTGATTGGCAATCGGATAGAGAAACGACAGTTTGTGAGTGCCTTACGTCAGAGAACATTGCCTTACTTTTAGATAAGACTGACCGCGAATCGCATAACTTAGCAAAATCTATACTCACCTACATTGCACTTATATCAACTATGTTATGTTGTCTGTATGTAATCGGTTATGTATTTGTTAAAACTTATGGTATTGATCCACAATTTAAATCACTCGATAAACTACTTAAGCGATACATAAAGAAAATGCATTTTTCAATTACAAACTACAGCCTCTGCTTATTAATTGCTAATATATTGGTTTTGATTACACTAAATACTAACACTACGCCGGTATGTAATTAACTACTGTATTGTTAACATAGCTAACAGTGTAAATTTATATATACAGTATATATATATACTATTAAATATAATATTTTGTTTTTATAATATAGATTTTTTGCGAAATTCAAACAGCATTACTAGCATTGGTACTATTGTCACAATTTTTCTGGTTTATTTGGCAATCATTTTATGCCCTAAAAATATCATACGATAATGATTTTGTTATTAATAAAAAACAATCAATTTTATTTGCCTATGGACTACCAATTTGTTTAATAGCAATTTATATACTATGCAATCGATTTATACGACAAAATTCAAACTATCTAATAATGGGATCGGATTATTTGTATTTTTAAATTTTTACATTTATTTAATTAATTATTTGATTTAAATAATTTGTTATTTATTTATTTTTTTTTTTTTGATAAATATAGTTGCTATATATCATCGGATAAATTTTACAATAATATGTACTTTATAATTGGTAATATATTAAAAATTATGAATTTCTCTTATTTTAAATAATTAAAAATGTTTATTAAAATAAGTAATTTATATTTTCTAAAAAAGGACTCAGTGCAGTGATAATTATTTTTGATATAATCTTATTAAAAATGTCATCGGTAAATTTTGGACACAAATTATACAGCACACTATTGCAATTAAATAACTTTATTTGTTGGACACTATTTTCACTTTATGTAAATCGTTCTAGCTCAAATCCAGTTATCTTATATTATCTATTTATTATGATTAATGCAATTCAAGTAAGTATACGAAAATATTTAATTTTATTTATTAATAAAAATATTTATTTGTTTTTAAAATATTTATTAGGGACCACTTATGTTGTGCTATATTAGGAAAACGGTTAAAATAGACTCAAGAGGTATATATAATTTAGCCGATTGTCATCAACAACAACAACAACAACTAAAACAACAACAACAACACCGACATGTCATTAATAATCACTCAATGGATGAGATAAGTATTATTGGGTTTAATATTACTGATAATACAAAACCAAAATGCAGTAATTGTTAAAAACATTTTTAGCTAAACAAAAATTATTATATATTAGTAAACATTACACTAAATATTTTATTATTTAATTTTAATCAATTATTTGTGTTTAAAAATATGATTATACAATAAGTTCTATCAATAATTTAAATTAATTAATTATTTACATTATGCTACTAAATTTATTATTTAATGAGAAATAATCAGGAAAACAAATATATATAAAAAATTAATTACTTATTGTACATTTAAATTTAAATAAATATGATAATCAAGTGCTATTGTTGAAATTAATTTTTTAACTTTATGTTATCTATATTGTATAAATATGTATTTATGGATTTATCAAAACAATAAAATAATTTATTAATAACTTTACTTAATATTTTTTAATAATCGAAAATAAAAGTTTATTGTTATTTTAAATATATAGTTCTAAATTATTTATATAGTAAATAATATTCATTATTATCAATAAATATAACATTACTATCTATTATTAAAATAGTTATGTAGAAAAATAATTTTTGTATAATAGATACTAATAAACTAATATAATTTTATATTACAAATTGTGTAGAAATATGTTTGTTATTTAGAAGCAAAATGGAAAATTTTTAAAAACTATGTATAATATTAATATAATATATTTAGAGATGGGTAAATAAAAATTTCTAATAAATTTTCCTGAGAAAATTTCTAGTAAATTCCTTAAGAATAAATTTTTATAGTTTTCCCCATATCTATAGATATTGTAATACTATTTAATATACAATGTATTATGTATTAATGAGACAATACATATATACAAATGGGATCCTTACATATAAAGTTATAGTTTTGTAAAATTTTATTAATTATTTAATTATATTTTTAGTTTAATACAGTAAAAAAAATAATTTTTTACTTAAATTATTAAAATAATAAAAATAATAATATTTCACTATTACTTGTAATCAATATGTATTCTTACCAAGATGACTAATAGCGATATAACAAAATTAACCATGGTCATTCCATAGACAGATTTTTTTTGAAACTTTTTAGACATTATTTTTAGAAATCTCTGTTTTTAACGAACACTAAATAATTAATCCTCTATTAATGGCATTACTAAATTAATATTAAATTGTAATTAATAGCTAAATAGTTAAATATTTTTTATGTTTAATAGAAATTATTATGGATAATAAGCAATACTGTAAATGTGTGTATATGTACTGTATTTAATTATAAGTTTTTCAAGATTGCAAAATCATATATTTTGACATTTAATTATATATTTATATTAATATATAAATATTTTTATTGTAGTAGTAAAATAATATTTGATTTATATTAAAATAAAAGAATTTCCATCATAAAATGTACTCATATTGTTATATTAATTTTTTTTAATTGTGATATATTAATAATAATTACAATTAATATTATATAATTTATACTACCATTACATAGTGTAAATATGCAAGTAATTTATCGTAATTAAAATATAACAACAAAATCTTAGAAACAAAAATAATATTATATTTCAAGTAAAAAATACAAATTCATTGCCAATAAAAATAACATTCACTCATAAGATGAGATTTTTAAAAACAATTATGAATAATATATAAATATAATATACTGTATAGGAAAATATAAAAACATATCGTAGAGTTGATTGAAATAAAAAACATTATTAATATTAAATTATTTTGTTATATTCGTTCATTAATCTCAAAATATGTACAAATAAATAAATATTTCTCTAATAATAAACAATTATTAGAAAAAAGTAAACAATAATCTATTTTTTATTAACAATTGTGATTTTATGTTTGATAAACTTTTTGTTGATAACTTTTTTATTATTAATAAAATATTATTTTTAAAAACTTTTAAATCTATTTAAAATCAACATAGAATTGTTCACTGGGTGTCTGTTTTTATTAAATAAACAACAATAGACTATATATTAATTAAACATTAATAGTTTATTGTAATTTTTAAAATAATTTTGTTAAAAACATTTTTTTCAAAATTGATTGATATCTAAAAATATAAATATTACTAATATATAACATCAAAATAATTTAATTCAATAATTAAAAAAATATATATAATAATGAAGTTCAGTGAATCAATTACTAAAAGTAATGAATACAAAGTGAGTACTGCTGAAAGCAAAAATAAATCACCAAGTCAAAATGGCTATGAAATGCCCCTGGTCTATATTTGGATCTATACACTTATACATTTTTTTAATCATCTATTATTTGTAAGTTAAATAAATATTATTTGAATTAATTTCAAAAAAAATAATTATTTGTCACATTTTCTAAACTATAGGGTCTGACCCAGTCTATGGTACCGCCAGCTTATGTAGACTTTAAATTCACGACTAATGCATCGCTACCAATGATTGGATTGAATCCCACATTTCAAGGAGTGGGCATATTTATTGGCTCATTTGGTATAGTAGTTAGATTTGAGAAACTTTAAAACTTTCAATAAACTCATATTTAATTTAATGATTTAGTTACCATTATATTCAAATGGGTTAATAGACAACTATGTCTATGTTTTGTAGTAGTTATTATGTCATTGAGTACCATATTTTTCCCCTGGGCTACAACACTGTGGCAACTATGGCTGTGCTCTCTACTGTATGGTTTTGGTGTGGGCAGTTGGAACGGGTGCAATAATGTGGTATTGGTTGAAATGTGGAAACATAGAAGTCCATCAATGCTATTGTTTGCTCAGTTTGTTTGGGGTGTGGGCACTATATTGGGACCATTACTAGTGGAAGCGTATGTTATTGGCAATGATGTCTGTCCAGGTGTAACACAAGAAGAGTGTCACCGACAACAACAACAACACTCAAATCCTACTACAGTTGAACCAAACAGCCGGTGCACCGAATGGTGTTTGAATTTCGATAGAAGACCTCAACTAAAGATACCGTTTCTTATAGGCGGTTGTTTAGAGTTATTGGGGCCGTTATGTTATTTTATTATGTTTTTTGTTAACCGCTATCGCTATGTGAAGGATGAGTCCAGGGATGACATTGAAGACGAAGAGAAAAAACGTGAGGAACGGGAGACTCGAAAGAAGATTGTGCCGAAGTATATGATCCTCGGGTGTATGTCAGTCGTATTTTCGTGCGGCATATTAGCCGAAAACCTGTACAACTCGTTTGCCGCCACATTCTTTCAATACCAACCCGTACTACATGTTTCAGCGTCTAAAGCATCAATTATATCGTCGACAATGAACGGTGCCTTTAGTTTGGGTCGTTTCATATGTATGTTTGTGGCCGTATATGTCTCGCCCCAGAATATGGCGCTCGTGGAGCTCATCATTACATTAGGCGGCTATATATTCCAGATATTTGGACAAAACGATCTGATTCTTCTATGGATAAGCGCTATTATCATCAGTCTGGGCTTCTCCAGCATTTGGATCTCTTGTTTCTCATTTATTGCCCGGTATATGACACTCACCGATATGATTGGTGGTTGGATGATAGGTCCGTGCAATATAACATACATAGTGTTAGGCTATTTTATTAGCGGCTTTATGACAACCAATCCGTCTATATTTTTATACATCAGTACAGCAGGTGTGGCCATATCGATAGTGGCACACATTGTGGCCATGATATCGGTTAGACATGTGCCCAAAGAGCTATTGCTCAATGTTGACCCTGCTCAAACAGCACATTAAATTTATTCATACATTTTTCAAATGTGGACATAGATTCTCTACTATGTAGAGTAAATTAGTTTAAATTTTTATTTTATTGTTGATCTCTTAAATATTTTAATTATTTATTTATGTAAAATTAAATTACATTTATTAATAAAAACATTTAAAAATAAGTTATTGTACTGTTTATTAATACTAATTTAAATGTCAATTAGGCGTCGATAGACTTAACTTAAGTCACTTAAGTTTAACTCATTTATAATTAAAAAAATTCCAGTTATGAAAAAATATTAGAATAATAATACATTAATTAATTAAATAAATAGTCATTAATATGTATTTATGTTTTTATAATATGACATTATTTATAGTATTAGCAATAATATAAATCTAATATTGCATAACATACTATATATAAAAAAAATTCATAACTTATTTACATATTATGCAAATATTTTACTTTTGCGAAATAAAATGATTATTAATATATAATGATTATTTTACATAATTTATATTTCATAATTGTTACTTATTTAAAAATTAGTTAAATATTTTAATGACAAATATATTGATAAATACTTTATTTTAAAAACTTATGATTAAAAATTTAAAAATTTAACCTATTCTCATTGCATGTACAGTTTTATTTTATTTTTTTATATTTAAAATTCCCTCTATATTAGTAAAACTATAGTAAAAAAAAATACTGTTTAAGACTGTATAATATCCATAGTATCCAAACTACATATACATTCCTTATCATACCTGTATATATAGTTTTTAAATGACCTTGATCAACAAGTTATCATATGGTTTGTATGGCTACACTAATACTGTAAAATGTAATATACATGTGAACTCTGGTATCTAACAACACAAAACATAAAGTCTAGTAGAAAAATATATAGACATTTAATTTTTCAATTTAAAATAATATATATATTTTTAGATTTGTTTACTTTATAAATAAAAAGGAGACATAACAACAACAATAAAAGTATTGATTATTAAATACCTATATTTATTATAATTATTAATTAGTAAAAATAAATTATATATTATTAGGAATATATTATTATCATTATATTAAAACATACAAACAATGTCTACAACTATTGATGACAATGATAGTCAACGGTATGGATGTGTGGAAAGTTGTGGCCGTTTACTTGAGTCACTACATATGGCCAACAAAATGCAGACCACTTATCGACTAATGACATCTGATTATATCTACCGACGCGATCATAACCTCTCGATACAATGCGGTCTATTAGAAGATGGTTTGAATTTTATTTAAACATAAAATGTTATTTAATATATGATGTCATATATATAAACACTTAATCTAAATACTAATAATATACTAAATTTTGTCAATGATTCACTTCCAGGCTATCCATTGATGAAATTTTGTCAGATAAGGCCTAACGATTGGGATACCATTAATTATGTCCTAATATATCCCATACGGGAAAATCGTTTCTATACTATTGAGTATACGGTCGACGAAAGACTTATAGCGGCCGCCAAAGGGCTAAACTGTGGACTAAAATATTGCGGACGAGTCATATACTTTGCATCTATTATTACTGACATCGTTAGGGTCTATAAGGCCTACGATTTGGACAGTCAGGGCATCGGTAGCAACGGAATTGCGACAAATACTGATCATAAAGTTAGTTGAATTCTACGTAGTCTATGATTATAATACAAAACAGTACTAATTTTTTTTATGAATATTTATTATATTAAACAAGACTGAGACCAATGTATTGCCTGTAAGGACTGTTAGAACACTGGCATCGATAGCTGGCGGCTGGGCTGGCGGTGCTACCGGTGCCAGTATCGGTAGTTGGTTGGGCAACCATTTGGGCATCAATTTGGCCGACCGCATGGACGATAGCAAAGCGGCCGTATTGTTGCCGCCGTTGGGCGCCGTTATCGGCAGTTTAGTTGGCTCAGTGATTGGTACGACCAAAACGAGTACAGCCGCCGATTATTTTGCTCAAAAGTGCATCGATTGGTATTCAAATAAATAGATAATATTATTATTATTATAAAAATTTTTTGAATACAGATATTTTTTTTGTAATAATTGTTTATTTTTGATACATATCTTTGTTAATACAATTTATTTTTACAGACAATTTTATATCTAAATAATAGCAATAATAGAGAGATTAATTCATAAATAATAAAAATAGCTGTTTTATAAAACAAAGTAATTAAAAGTTTATTTAAATTAATATTTTACAATATACTTGTATTAATGATGAATGCAATTATTTGTGCTAATGTAACGGTAAATATAATTTTTACAATATTTAGTATACTTACCAGTAGTGGTCAAATATTTATTTTACTTTAATTGTTGTAAAAAATAAAAGACTAATTCAAAGTACCAACTAATAAATAAAACAATTATACAATAAAAATATGTTTTAACTAATATATAAATTTGATCAATAGTTAAACTATGTTGGTCATTTGCAAATTGCATTGGTTTTATCCTTAGATAATCGGGATTATTTAGATAAGTTTTTAAATAATATTGATATCTCCAATAATATAATAAATTTGCTTCAATTACTTGTGATACTCTAAAAAAATAATTAATTAATTAATTTTTATAATTATTAATTATTATTATTACATAATATTTAACTGGTTTTTTAAAGGCCACTGTTTATCCATTGCAATGGCTATTAAATCTAGACATAAACCGGAATCTTTATCTGCCGGCGGCATATAATAATAGATATTTTTTAAATTATTGAAATTTTTAAGTTGAAAATCATCGAAATGTAACCGTGATACTATTACTACATATTGTCCTGGATAATTTAATAAATAATAGTGTATTTGATGAAAAGTAGGCACAAATAATGTCCATTTATTAATTTCACTATTGTTAACATGGACATATAGAGCTTTCTGAAATATAAATTATTTAATGAATTAATAAATTTTAGTTAGAAATTAGCTTAGATTTGTTATGTGATAATATTATGAAATAAATAAATTATTATTTTTAAAAAATTAACAACAAAAATAGAATAAATAATTAAGTTATTTAAAAAATAAACTAATTATTATTAATATTTTATATTTATTTTAAAATTAAAACAATTAATATTACTTTAATTTGAGATGAATATACACTTGAAACAGAAGTGACAAGTAATTTAAATTTTTGTTTTTGTAAATTTATAATTAAATCAGAAATAGTTTCAATTTTATCCAACGGTTCGGATATAGTTAATGCCGATAATAAGTTTGCAGAATATAATTGTGATAATATATAACACGATAACAATAATGATATTATGATAATATTTAATGACTTTATATTATCTATATTTGGTATAGATTTATTAAAAATAATTGCCACTAAATTAATTATACTAATTTTATTATTACTGTTATGAACTAAATTTGCCAGTAATATAAATATTAGAATTGCCATAAAACTTAATACCAAAATAATCCAAACATTATTATCAAATGGTTTAATTAAAATTAGTTCATATGATTTGCTTTTATATACGGGTGCTGTAAATGTTAGTTCATTAATATAGTGTGGATATGTAAATGAAACATATTTTGATCTCTCAGGTGTTATTGATAGACCACCAATACCTAAATGAGCTTGCTAATTTGTTTTAAATTAAATAATTATATTTATATTCGATTTTTATTTACATTTTATTTAAATACCTTATTGATAATACTGGCCATAACACCAGTAAAGGTGCCGTTTGGCAATTGTTTATCCCAATTGAGATTACAGTCTAACAACTCAAATGTAAGATTAGATTTTTCAATAAACACTTTTATTAACTCTATTTCCATCCCAATAGATTGTCCAGGTAATTTTGTAGGTGACATATAGCTATATGGAGGAAACTAAAATTTTAAATAATAATTTAGTATATTAAAAGGTAATTATATAGTTTAGTAATTTCATACATTATTTACGGCTACTTTAAGATGATTTTTCATTTTTAATTACAAAAAATTAATTTTATTAATAATAATATAGTTAATGCATATCTTAAATGTATATTTGTTAAAATAATATTTATATAAACTATATATTTAGTTTATTTGACAACTCACAACTTAATATATTTTAATTTATTTACATAAGTTATTTACATAAATTATTTATAAATAAAAAACAAATAATTTTATTAATATTAAATGTCAAATAAAAAATAAATTATGTATTTCTATTATAGACTTATTTTCTTATAATTATTTTAATATATACTAAATATTTATTTAATTAAATAATTAAATTATATTTAAATTATTATATTAGAAAATTATCATAATAACAAATAAAATAATTTATTTTAATAATAGTAACTAAAAATACCAAATTTAAAATTTAAAAAATATATAATAAAAATACATTTTAACTAATATATAAATTTTACAAATAATTAATATTTCTACATCACAGTCAAAATTAATTGATTTTTTAAATAATTTTTTTAATTAAAATTATATACTTTTTAATTGTAAAGTGATTTTTGTTTAACTTACATAGTATTTAGAGGCTTTAAGTAAATAATTGTTAAGAAATAAATTATAAATAACAATCAATAAAAAACAAAATTAAAAACTTATTGCAAATATAATGTTATAAATAATAATACAAAACTATTGTACTAAATATTTAATTACATTTTAGTATAATAGCTGAATAAAATAAATGATTAATTCAAAATACCAAATTACAATTAAAATTAATATAAAATAAAAATACATTTTAACTAATATATAAACTTGATCAATATTTAGACTATTGATATGTGGATCAATAGAAAGTTGTTTTTGTCTTTTATGTAAAAAATCAATATTTTTTCCAAATTTTTTTAAATAGCATTTATATATCCAATTCTCTATTAAATTTGCTTCTAATACTTGCGATACTCTATATATTAATATATAAAAAAAGAAATCTATTAAATTAATTTTTTTATAAATAAATATATTTAGTTTTAATTTTACATTTTATTTAGTTTATTTTGATAAATTGAATTTTTTGCCATTGCAATAGCAATTAAATCAATAAAAAAGTTAGATTCAATATTATCGGGTGGCATATAATAGGGTATATTATTGTTATCATTGATGTGTTCTAATAGAAAATCATCAAAACTTATTCGTTCAGTTATTGCCACATATTTTCCCGGAAACTTTAGGAGGAAATTATGTTTTTCATGATTTGTTTCCAATAGTTTGGCCCAATTGTCAAACTTGTTATTACTGTTAATCATCAATACATTCTAACAAATATATAAAATATTAATACAAAAATAAAATACAATTATATAATTAAAATTTAAGTCAATATCAATGGTTATAAATTTCTAGTTCAAAATAAATTGATTTTTTATTGTATAAAATAAAACATGCAATTATAATATATTATTATTATAAAAATAACTTATATTAATAGTAAATACTATAAAGATTAAAAAATATAAACAAATATTTGTCAAATACTTTAATTTGATTGTTAAAAGTATGCGCCCCATCCATGAGCAGTATCTTGATATTATGATTATTAATATTTTTGATTAACTCAATTATAGTCTCAATTTTATCAGTTATTAAAGGTTTTGTCAATACTGACAATAAGTTTGCTGAATATAATTGAGATATTATAAAAAACGATACTAACATAAATATAACCATTATTTTAACAGATCTAATAGCAATTATTTTAGGAATAGACTTATTAAATATAATTGCTATGAAATTAAATAAAATAATATTTTTAACATCATTAGTGTGAATTAATTTAACTAAAATAATAAAAAATATAACTGCTATTAAACTTATTAGCAAAATAGTCCAAACATTATCTTCAAATGGTTTAATCAAAATAAGTTCATACGGTTTACTCTTTACTAACGGAGCTGTAAATGTAAAAGCGGATATATAGTGTGGATAAGTAAATGTAACATGGTCAACTCTCTCATGTGTTATTGATAAATCACCAATACCTAAATCAGCTTGCTAATTATTTAATATATAAATAATATTAATTTTATTGTCATTAGTAATAGTACGATACCTTGTTAATAATGCTACCAATAATACCAGTATAGGTATTGTTTAATAATTGTATTCCCCAATCGTTTTTGTAGTCTATTATTTCAAGTGTCAAATTAAATTTTGAAACAAATATTTTTAATAAATCAATTTCAAAGCCAAATGATAGTTCAGATAATTTTGATGATAATAAATAAGTAAATGGTGGATACTAAATTAAATAGATAATTAATTATATTTATTTTATTGAATAATATTATAATTTAATACATTAGTTGTGGCTACTTTTAGATGGTTTTTCATTTTTTAAAAATAATTTTTTATTATTCATATGAATATTGATAGTTTAATATTTATTATTTACTTTTTTTGTTCAAATATTATGTAAGTAATTATTATATTGTATTTGATATTTGAAAAAATTAAAACAATATTTTGTAAAACTTAATTAATTTTATTGATATTATTTTTATTTGTGAGCTGTTTATAATACAAATAAAATAAATTTAACAAAATAAATACTAATATGCATTTTATTGATTATTATAATAGCAATGCTGTTTATTTATTATATATATTTGTAACAATATAAGTTTTATATATATAAATTTATAATAATGTATGCTTTAATTATTATTTTCTTAAAATGTGGTAAATATTTATATTGTAAAATGTTTATTATTTAATGTCATATTATAAGAAAACAATTAAAATTTAATATAAAATAAATTATTAAATATTAATAAATAATTATTACAGTTTTGTTTATTTTTGTTTAGATAAATAACAACTCAATAACTTACTAAAAAAAATCTTTATTTTAGTTAAATGAATTTATATATATTATTTTTTAATCTTTTATTAAGTAAATTGTATATGTTTAAAATACAGTAATAGTATAAAATTTTATTAAAAATTATAGTTATTAACAAAAACATTCTATCAATTTATTAGACATAATTAAATATAAAATAAGTAAACACCTCTATATACC